GAAGCATTCTAACTTCATAGGATAATTCAAAGATTCGGTTTTATTGCTACAATATCTAAGTAGACGCAAAATAGCCATTAAAATTCAAGATGCTCTTTTTTTTAAAAATGTTTAGGTTGCTGTGCCTATTTGTGCTAGAATCTGCAGTATAATAAAGCAATATTCGTCCTCTTATACGCTAGCGTACAAATTATTGACGCAAGTATAAACTACCCATATTACATTAAGATACGTCACTCGCGTAGGCCCAACGATGGCCGATTCTAAAATTATTTGTAACAAGACTGACATATATAAATACTTTCACCATATTTTCCTTCCTCTATGCTGTAACTGTCTATTAAAACACCGAGGACACGATTTAAGGAAGGATTTCAAGATTACAGGCTTATCCGAACAGGCTTAAATAGAAATGGCCTGATGATGGAGGGAGAAAGAGCGATTACTAGAGAAAGAAAAGCGCAGCACTGTCCTTGGGGCCAATGAACGTATCTGCAGGCTTTTAACTATGAAAGGTTGCTATATGAATTGTTATCGATAAACGTTGTACAGAATATGAAACTATACACACAAGCATGTAACAGGACCATGCCTTTATACAAAAATTAATTGATATACTTTTCGTATATCAGTAGATTTTAGCCTCTGTGTCATACAGTAGCATCAACAGTGACTATAATGGAACAAGCCAAGTGACCACCTATTCATCTCACTGACGTAATCTATAACTTAGAAACAAAAGAAAGCTTTAAAAAAAATTTTATCATATTTATTAGCTATGTTATTATAGCATTCTAAGCGTGTGAAGATCCCTTTCCATGTGAGACTGTTCTCCTTTTCCGCGTATTTTTGAAACGCGTAGCTCTCCAGTACATCTGACTTTATGAATCCGTCTGGTTTGTAAGTGTTTTCTTTTTCTAATAAAGCGAATGTGTTCAAAGAAAGGATCGCTGAATGACTGTTAGCGCTTGACGGGTGGAAGCGTTATACAAACCATAAAGTGAGAGCCCGTTTACGAGAATCATGAATTTCGTAAACGGAAGACACGGATGGAAGGATTCATTCTACATAGGCAATTTAAAATCGATCGTCATTAAATGACGAACTGTCGCTGGTGTATCTGACTATCGTAAGCGCATACCAGTCATAATGATGATGACGATGAAGAATTTACAATAGTATTGCCAGTGCCGCACCTGGCTAGCGTCCGCTGCCACTATAATTGGTAGGGACGGAATATAGTGAGTGAGGAGCCGGCCTAAGTTTTGGCTTCGTTGGATAATTTAGGGCATTTTCCCGACCAGACTGTGTAGCTTTAAAAAGAGGTTATGGATTTTTATAGTTTTTCTTGAAAAACTCGAACCAATGTGTAATCGTCCCCCTGATCGACGCATTTTTAAATAGAGATATGCTTACATTAGTTCCAGTCTTCCTCGGATCTGGTTTACGTCTTCTGGTATAATGCTGAAACCTAAGTAGCTGATTGATGTTTCAACGAATTTATATTTTCCGAATGATGTCCTTAACCATTTGAGTTAGTTCCAGTGAATTCACTATTAATTTGTTCTACTGTGTCTTAGAAAATAGCTAAAGCTATTTTTATCGACAGCCGTATAGAAACCTATAGGAAGGTCCATAAAGTGTGGTAAATACAGGCTCTATTGTTGGTGGCGAGTAACGATGGTCTTCTGGATCTGGTGGAGAAATCTGCACATAACCCAGTATCACCCACTTTATTCTGAACTACGACCATTAAAGCGGCATATTTTATTTTTTTTTCTCACAGGGCTTGCATAATCATTCCAATTCTTTCTGTAGCTTAGAAAGAATACGGTATGAAACAGGTCTCGACTTTTTACCTTGTGCTCCGGGTTTCCTGCGGATATAAGCCTTTAATTTAGTGCATTTACCCCAATTAGTGGATATGTTTGTTTTAGGTTCTTTATCATGTCCTTTTTCTTATTTTTCTGAAGACAAGATCATTTTTAGCTTTCGCTATTTCTACCTTTGTATCTGGATGCTTGACCATAGCTTTTGTACGCTCTGCATCTAGCAACTCCCTAGGAACAATCCCTAGCAATTCCCCCCTCAGTATCGTGATCAAGCACACAGCAGTGGTCTCGATGTCCAAAACATGCCAAGGCGGCATGCAACGAACAGTCACAGAAGATCAGTAAAAAAAAACTTCTTTGGTTTATTCCATATTTTTTTTTTTTTTTTTTGATTATCTCAGTAGCATCAGATTCGCATCAGAAGAATGATGTTTTCTTATCCCGTCTCTGTATGAATTTGTGGGTTCTACTATTTTCTTTTGCTGTTTATTTGTTAAAAAATATTTACAATTATCGTCTGCAGGTTCAGTGTTTAGATTCCCGCTAATTAAATCTGTTGCTGCGGCACCAGAATCTGTGCTCTTGCATCGGATTGTTCTGATTATATATGATACAAGTTCAGGACTGATTTGTGACGGTAATATTTTTCAGCTGAACGGATTGTTTTACGTGAATGCTCAGTATTTCATTGTGGCGTACGCGTTTTTGTCCAAATACTTTAGAAACACCTGTATTTTATACCTGTATTCAGATTTTGTCAAACTACAGAGCCATATATAATGTTTGACTCATTTCCGAAATCTGTGCTATTCCATGAACACGGTTCATTTTAAACTATTCACGAAACTAAAATTGTTCTCATACGTCACCTTAAAGTACATGTATATTCTCAACGCATATATAATAACGTTGTGAGATAATCCGTCGTGTTACTAAGAGTAACTTTGGCTGCAGGTATTGAAGTATGTTTTAATTTACAACGTCATACGGGAATTTTCCGAATTCTGCCATAGTTCCTACTTAACGGAGCTCTTGACGCCTTTGCAGGGCCGTTGGTAAAATCCGTTCTACATTTTGTATAATCAGGATCTTTTTGGTTGTAGAGGAGTCGGTTCAGAAGAGCTTCAAGATTTCAAGCGTATTGATTTAGTAGCGCGAAATAGTAGTACATAGGGCTGAAAGAGTTAAAAAGTACAGCTAGATATATATATATATATATATATATATAGAGAGAGAGAGAGAGAGAGAGAGAGAGAGAGGAGGGAGAGAGAAAAGGGGAGGTGCGTCAACAGCAATTCATAAATTTGAATCTTTAATTTTCTCGCAGTGCTTGAGCGGGTAGGCTTTTGACTGACACATACGTTTTTCAAACAATCTGGTGTGGGGACTTTAACGCTAATCCACTGTCTAACTTTTATTCTACTACTACTCTTGTTTCGTTTCTAAGTCTATCCGGTTCCTTTTTTACAATAGAATCTATCCTCGAATCGGATATCTAAACCGTGCGGATGGATAACTATCAAACGACCTTTGATCTTGCATGCGGTGTGATTAAGACCACTGAAATGTCTTACCATTACACGGTTTGCATCTGAGTAAAATTTCTCATAACTGGTGCACGTCAATAAAACTCCTAAGAGAATTTTCAATACACACAAGTATGAAAAGGTTACTACTGTAGCGCTGTATCCGTTGAAGCAAAACTTCAAGGTCTGCGGGCTCTTTATCAGATTTTCTTTTCTCTTTATGAGAAGACGTTTCCTATCAACACAGAGCTACGACGTACGAGGCCAGCTGATTGGTGGAACGCTAAGCTGGTAAATGCGCGTAGGAACTGCGATAACTTTGCTCATGATCATTTTTCAGCGAAATTCAAAACGTGTAAAGTAAATGTTTACTATCTCAGGTCTGCATATTGTTTAAAGATTGAAACTAAAACGCGTTAAATGTAGAATTGATAAACTGAAGGGGCGACCTGGTAACCTTTTGAAGTTTAAAGCACAAAAAAAAATCTAAGTCTGTAATAGCTCTTTTCCTAGCATACACATTAAACTTTTTAATTCCTTTCCGGATTATTTCGAAGTATTTCAGGTCCTGTCTTATATGTATAAGGGTAAGAGCGATCATTCTAGCTCAAGTAATGGTCACCCTGTACCTATGACAAGCTCCACAGCAAAACTCAGAAGAATTTGATTTTTTATCACTCGAAAGAATGATAAATCAAATTTTTCTGAACGTGCAGAAATTGGGCCTTTTACCATACACTGAAATATGGATTCTAAATTCAGCGTTTCTCCAGGAAATGCGTGGGCAGAACAGGTCATTCAATCTCAAAAAGTGCAACTGCACGCTTGTCTTTTCGTTGTCTCTAGGTCGTGCCTTTATTGAGCTATACTTAGGTTACTTAGGTGCGATCTGGCATGAAAGTTACAAGAACATGATTGAGGAAGTTCAAGTCGTTTAAAATTAAACGATTCGAGCATTTGGCCTTTACTGATTCAACTCGGCTTCAAAGCTCGCTCCCGGCAAGAAATTTTTAGTATCAACAATTTTCTGCCGCCCCTGAAGGGTCATTTGGATAGATACCAGCGGGTACTATATGTGCACTCAACGCCACGCGTAGTAGAAAAAAATAATCAACAACTTATCCTAGTATCCTTGCATTTTACATTAAATAAAGCCTATATTTTTAAATTGTAATGTGGCGAAGTGGGTGGCAAACCATTCCAGAAGGTACTAGTTACAACGACATAGCCAGGAAAATCCACTAGAATAAGGTCTTAGAGGAGAACCGTTATAGACTGCTGGTAGAATAAGCAGTGGACAACCGTTATAGACTACCGGTAGAATAAGCTTCACAGCAGTAGGATATGGGATCGAGACCAGTTCGGAGCGAATCATTATCGAAGAAACGAAAAATGACAATAATAAAGGTCACAAGTGGAGTATGTTATTGTTAGCTTGAGTGGCACATGGCAACAGTTGCAGAGCCTAACATGGCAGGCTACTAAGTGGCATTACGTAGGCGCGCACTGCGTGCCGCAGAGAAAACGAGGAAAATTAAAAAACGAAGACCGGGGTGTCTATGACGCTTGCCAATATGTCATGGCCTCTGGTGTTGTCTGCTGTCCTGTAAATGAGAGGCACACAGCAGGTAAGAAAATACACGGGAAGAGTCGCAGTACGGTCGCAGTACGTCGAAGTGCATGCTTGACGTACGTAATTGTACCATACAATTTCTCTGCTTTCTTTTTTTTGGCTCTGCTGAGGGTACCAAGATCTTCAGTATGGAAGGCAATGGTGGTGACAAAAAAAGAAGCAAATGGCTAACAGCACTAATTGCCGATTCTAAGTGACAAGGTTACCGCCTATTGCTAAGGGTATCGCCAGATGTATTGGAACAACTTATTATGAAATAACAGTGATTATTATTAATAACAATAATAGTAGTAGTAGTAGTAGTATACAATCTAGCATAGATTTAATACGACTAATAACGCACAAACGTTCGTGTCTCTTAGCGGAAAAACATCAATTTAGATCATATCGCATACTTTTGCGGCGGCTAAAAACGACAGCAACGGCCAATTTTAAGGCGAGCTGGCATCCATTCACGGGGGCGCAAATTGCGCGAAACTCGCCACTGAGGGACCTTCCCCTTTTTCCTTTAATTTTTGATATCAGCCTGCTAATTGTGATTCTCTGTGGCCAAGACGAGGGTTCACACAGTCCTTCCTGGGTACGCACCTCCGCAAGTGCTATGACTTTTGTCTTTTTGAACGTAGTTGGTATGCGCCTGTCAAATCGCCTATGTTATATGTATTGTTTTCCAATCCATCGCGGTGTTGCATTGTTTAACGCGCCATACAACCGTCTACATGGGCTGATACCCCCTCTAACACAGCAGTTGAAATAATAAATAACACAGATGAAAATCTATACAGTTAGTGTCTGTTGTATTCTTGTCGTTGCAGATACGGAAATAGTCCGTTGGGCAGAACGTATCGATCGAAGGTCTCGAAAACATACATTTTTTGCACTATACTAGTCCTTCTAGTCTTTAGTCCCCTACTCATTTTTGGGCACGCCTCAGTAACCAATTTATGGTCAAAAGGATCGACCCTGGATCCACATTGGAGTGACGCATCCGCTGTACTGGAGAAATATTAGTGGCCTGTACACACTCTTGCTGTGTTGTTGCTTAACAACACGTCAATATGATACACTCACATATCACTATTCCAAAAAATTTGCTGAAACTCTGAGGATATAAGGAAGCATCGGCTTCGCGCTTCTCGCCTTCCATCGACTCGAAGAGCTTTTCGAACGAGCTGCACCCACAGCTATTGAGTTACGTAGTTCGGAAAATCTTTTCTGACGATATCCGCGTACGCAATGAGGACGTTGACGACCGTTTTGGCGAAACGTTTCATAGAGTGTTTGACGATCTTCCCTTCGAAATAACGCCGGAACAGCTGGGTGAAGACGTTTTCCTTGTTTTGATGCAAGTTGTTTGTCGTTTCTCTTGGCCCGGGCGGGTCTTTTGTTTGTTTTGTATGTTGCTTTTTATCAACAATCGGAAGCCGGAATCGCCCTGTTGCAGTATGTCGCTCATACTTCCTTGAGTACCTCTGGTATGCCTTTCCTAAAGGCATAGTAGACGGTCAGTTTTGATATATTTTTGACGATTATGGCGACCCAAGCCTTTGATGTGTATAACGATATCAACGAGTCGCTACATCTCGCAGCAATGCATACGGCCGATTTAAAGGGGCCCAAAAACACGCAGCGCTGCACGCTACCATTTTTAGTAATATTGTTCTGCTGAGTCCTTTTCTCATTCGTCTATGTATCGTCACAGCTGATCCAAATGAAAAACTTCATTCTTTCAATTCCTCGATACGCAAAAGATGTAGGTAGAATGTCTGTTCTTCATAAAGTAGGCTGTTCTGCTGGCTCGGTCGAACGAGCGAAATGAAATGAAGGCGTATTATTTATCGCTAATTCATACCAAAAAAACTGGAACAATACATTGGTTTTCTATACGTGTGTTTATCTCCTAAACTAGCGGACGTATGAGAAGTTCACAGGCGTAATGTAACATACAATTACGACAATAAGATTTTAGCGGTCACTATTTTCGAGGGCATAGTTTCGTAATACAGTTCATATGTGCTCACGTGCTTGCATGTGTGCTTTACAGACACAAACCCAACAATGCAGCAAAGTCGGTAAGTACTTTATTACGGTTGCCATGTTTGTGATTAGTAATAGTCGAAAGTTTGCCTTAGCACGCCATCCCTTACAGAGCAGGAAAATTTTGGCCAGAGCACTTGAAAGCGATTGCACAACTATGCATATTAGTGCAGCGCATGATATACCCTAGTACAGCGTGGGTCGTCTAAGTCACACTTACGTCACAACCGTTCAATAAGGAATCCAATATGGTGCGCTTCGTATCTTCTAGTCTGACGTAAACCTGTAACAATGATTGTTTCAGTAAAAAAGACTATCCACAACGCGATACCTGTGAGAGATACTTGAATTGGTGAGAGACTCTGCATTCAAAGCTCAGCTTGTTATATCGACTTCTGGAATAATTTTCGCAATGAAAGCTTTATCATAGTGAATTTTGTTAATCGAGCCCGACGCGCTTGAATCGTGACTAGTTGTACGATTCGAAATACTGATCTGCCGCCTTCGAGTAGCCACCCCATCCATCCATCCATCCATAACCCCCCATGGGTTATGGACCCCCGTTAACAACTGTCTTCTCAATGTGTGTCTGATTAGTGAAATAATACCCACACTGATGAACCGACAACCATCCACTCCAGACTATGAATTCCAGAAACGACATCTATGCTAGATAAACTAGGCCTTCAGCGTCTAGCGTCGCTAGGCCATAATACCTTGTTGTATGTAGCGTTTTTCATGTCACCTTGTAGGTAACTGTGATACAATTTGAGAAGCTCAAGTTCGTCATACCCCGAATGAGAGTGAAACGACTCGCTGTCACTGTTTGCCGAACATATCGATCCCTGCAACTTAGAAATCTCTTTGACAAAGTAAATTACAAATAAAAACTTCGGAATTAAAACCAAAAATATCCATATTGGAAAATAAATAGTGAAGCTATTTATTATAAATAGACTTGTACGGGTATTTAAGGACATTACTGCGTTCAGCTTTTTCGAATCGAATTGAGTGCGTGACGACAATCGTCTACTCATCGACTAACTCGTTCTTATGCTAAGTTATTTTGCAGTGGAAAACACTGATTTCCTTATGTGTAAAAAATAAATTAAAATAGTACGGACTTAATACTGACCGATCCATTCGCGCAAATATCGCCTTCGGCGTAAACTTCTCGGCTGCATTCGTGCCTAGCGTCCTGCTTTTGTTTGTGTACTCGACGGTTTGAATCCGTTGGCGTAACCTGAGTTTTTCCGTTAAGGAAATTTCGTGCGGTTGATCCATTAAAAGCGTCACTCGCGTTGCTTCCGTAATTACAGCTGCTTTCGTTCGCCTCATCGTTATTCCTCGTTGTACAGCTCTTTAGCGTAATAAAATACTTGTAGCAAAATATGTACGTAACGACTGACCTTCGAAAAAAATGTCAATAGATAGCAAAAAAAAGCTTTTCCGACAAGCTACGATACTTTTTGCTCGCGTTAAGACGATCAAAGGATTGGAGGTCCGTATTCTTATCAGACAAATTCACACTGATTAATTCTCGCTGATAGCGCATGTCGTAGAGTTGGTTATTGAAAAAGGAATGTCTCAAAACTGTTACTCTATCTTACCCCTATACTGCTCCTTAGGTTATCTTCGTCGGTTTTGTTGTCCGAAGTGCTACACGAAGTTAGATCTACAAGGCGAAACACGTCGGCCAAGCAAGGAGTAGGTGATAATTTTTTGCGAGAAGACAAAATGTTATGGCCTTGACGGGTGACTAAACTGCTCGTACAACTTCTGGATACTGGATTAGGATCACGCTGAAGGCACAAACAATAAATATTCCGATTGGCGGGGTCGGCGTCTTCCTGGCAACCAGCCTAAAGAGCTAGCTACTCCTCGGCATGTACCCTTAAGGTCGTATATTTACCTTAGAATTTGAGAAGTTCAAGATGTCTGGTAGCAACTGAAAAACGTTCGCTGGAAGGTGCCATTCCAACCGTACACAATATAGTCACGCGAACGCCAACAATTTTCGTTAGGTCGCGACCTTCACATACCTAAGCGCTTGAAGCTCTCGAGCAAGGCGCTGCAGATATTTTAAACTTTGTCTTCCATCCATATAACATTCAATAAGGTAAATATGACTCTTTAATATCGTAGTAATAGCTTCACGATGCGCTACAAAGCTACATTTACCCTATACAATAAACATTGTCACCCGTCGATGATACCTTACGTTCTCGACTCAGTTCCTTTAGTTTCAAGCCTTTCGACGTTCTCCAGTCTGCGGTAACGGCTTGACTAGTTTTTCGAACTGACTTTTCAAATTCAGTATCTGTTGACCACGTCGTACTTTCATCGCTTATAGTACGGTTTCCATCGTCGCAGCTCTTCCTACGACTTGGCCTTCTGCAGCGACTTCCCATGCCTTTGATAAGTACACTTCAATTTCGTTATCTTCCGCAATTAGGATTAACGAAATCACCTTCGACAGGTTTCAGCATAAATACGGTAGTTTAAGGAATCAATACGATTTACCTAAAAAAACCAATGTAATTTATATAAAAAATGAATGTCCGCAAACATTGACACATGTTATTTGGGGATAAACCGGCTCGTAAGAAATCTCGAAAAATGCGAGGTTGTACGCGGACGTCAGCAAGAACAGCTCCGTGGAGACTTCCGTAAGAAAAATAATTTCGTAGAAGTAACGAGTAGAAAAAATATTCTTCACCATATATATACATAATTTTTCAATGACTTTTGAATGATTCAAGTTGAGGATTGAAGGTACAATGGCGGTGAGTAGTAGTTATACCGAATCGATATCGCCGAAAATACCATAGAGGCTGAAAATATAATGACTAGCGATTATGGGCCCTATTACCGTAATACACTAGTAGTAGATTATTTATTTACTTAATCGTTATACCTAGCCATGGCTAGCAGCTTGACTGTATTCACGCAGCAATTGCGTGTTTTTTGTGACTGCTCCCTTCACAGTCAACGATAAACATCTTAGCCGTATAGCTTCTTTGCTAAAGCGTCCCAGACCGGCCACCGTCGTAAAAGTCTCCCAACACCCTCGGCGCTGTTGGACTTGCCCACCACCGTAGTACGATCCTGGCATTTCCCTCTCATTAAGTTTTCACAATCTATATCCGACAGACAAGGTTTATGGCTTGTGTTAAACAAGTTCTGTTGGTATATAGCCGTTTGCTACTTCTACGACATTCGTCTAGTTTTTGCCTTGTCTAGTCCCTTGTTTCAACGCAGACGTATACCACGACCTGACGTCTCCACCGGTACTAATGACTGTAGCAAAAGTAGCCTGCCCCTGTTGACAGCTTAGTTTATACAATCGGCCCGTCTCTGTCGTTGATTCCAACCAGTGGCTATTAGATTCGAGGTCTCGTCTCCCGTGCTCTACAAAAGAGCAGGAATCAACACTTCCACATCGTTAATCAGGTATGGGCTTCGTCGCTGTCAATAAATTGTGAAAGATAAGGTTGTCCATCAGCAATTGATAACATATCTGTCAGCGACCAACTGCGTCCGATATCCATACTTATTTTCCTTTTCGTTATAATTTATGTATTAGGTCGAAATGTCGCTTTCTCGACCAACAAAGGGCACAGATGTTTTATCTAGATTTTAGCAGCTGATTAATTTATTGTCGTTAAACTTTCTCAACCAATTTATTTAATAAATAGGTAGGTCTGGAGGTGAAGACTTTGCTTAGCCAGTCCAGTCTTCGAGGTTCGCCGTTCGCCTCTTAGGAATTTTATTTACCAGTCAACGGAAAACAAGGTCTCAAAAATATGGTGCGTGTACAAGAACCTCTACTTCAAAGCTCTTGTAGGGGCTTATGCGGTTTGGTAATGTCGTAAACAAGGAATATTCTGCCTCCTCGTTCATTCAATACAACTAGGCCATATGCAGATTTTTTTTGATCGTCTTGTACTGCTTAGGCATTTTTCAATGTATAAGAGAGCCTTCCAGTGGTTCCAGAAGATGTAGATCTGGCTTAGCTATGGGTGTAGACGTACTTTCCGCAACTACCCATTCTTCCTCACTGCATTATATCGACGTAAATGCGCCGCTACTCATCACGATTCTGAGTAAAGGCTTGCTATTGTGGGTACATAATGCCCAGTGTCGGAGGAGAAGTTGTGGTCGGGTGATGGTTGGAGGTGCCGATCGACTGAGGTGCAATTAGAATCAAGTGTTATTTTTGTTTTTCTGCTCATTCCACGGGGCACTGAGGTTTTTTGTGAAAAGACTTTTGGATCTATAGATCCAAAAGTCTTTTCAGTAGTCATAAGACTGCAGTTTACGGGATGTTTGCTGGCATTGTCTCTAAAAGTGCATTTCCAGGTTCCAAGATAATTAGTATAATTATCATAATATAATATATACATTATATATTATATATATTATATACATAATAAATAATATAGTAAATAATAATTCATATAATAATAAAAACAATAACAATCGTATATAATTATTATATATGTATACATAATATAGTAAATAATAATAATAACAATCGTGATGATCGAAGTATAAGCTAACCGCTGTACACAACAAAAATATTCCGGTCCGCCTCAGCTCTCTCTCCAGAGTCACAGCAAGTTAAGGCACAGTGAACTCCGGTGGACACACTGCTAATAATTTGGGTACATTAGCCCAGAAGTTAGTCCCCCAAAAACTTGCCATTTATGTTACCAATTACGACACTTCGACTGTTTTAACTGTTTGGATAACTTAAATTTCTGAGAGACCTTCTGCTAGTGATATAATTGGGGCGAATGAAGCGAAGGAGCTTTTTAAGGGTAGAAAAATTGACAAAGGGTTATAATTGATGACCAAACTCGGCAATTCCTTATCTTCAGTAAACCCCGCTGATCTATCTGCACCAGAAACGCAAAGATGCTATGAGGTGTCAAAGAAAGTGTACGTGAGCTTATCTTGGGTTTGCATTAAAGTTAAAAAAAAACTCACCAACAAAAGCTCACGAAGCGCGACCATCTATTTCAATGCGTTAACCTCCCCAAAGTGCGGAGACGCTGTCATGTAAGGTGCATGAAGACCTCTGCACGGACATTCGCTTTTGAGATGAAACTATTCGGCCTAACGCCGCCCATGTTGTTTCAACGTCGATGAAGTACAAAAGGATTTACTCAATCATAGTACTGACTTGTGACCAAGCTTGTGCTTGCCAGGACAGCGTTTTATTGAGTCAAATATCAAGCCATTTGAAGGCTTACTTTATACGTTGCAAGTTCTTTGTGAGGAGTGATCTTTAGGTGTGATTCGTTTTTTGAAAACGAGAAGGGAATACCGTACCGTGTATTATGCCCTTAGATAAGACCAAAACCCAAGTGGTGTTAACGCTGCAGACTTCTTTGAATCCGCGTCAATTTATGAGTGGTATTAATAGCTTTATAATGGACGGGAAGGCAATTCCTGGTGATTTCGGCTAACACAATGAACGAATGCCGAATCACTCTCAAGAATTTTGAAAAGCAGTCATTTTTTGAAAAAGTCATATTAGATTATTTAATAAAGATTTGCAGACAGTTATAACAAGGATTATGATGAAGAACCTAAATTCCGGATAAATGAAGATCGGCCGAAAGAAAACAGACTTTAACATATCATTTCGGAAAACGACACGCGGCTATGAGGATGTGACGTGAACCCAGACCAAAATAGTTACAAGATCCAGATTAAAAACCAAGCTTTTTTCGTTTTATTTGTATTACCAATTATTATCATTCATTTGTGGCTAGTGTATTATCTAGTGTAATATTATATTATTATTATATAAAAAAGTATTATCAAGAGACACCATAAAAGTTACGTAATGGTAACTCTGAGAGAAGAGTACGTACATTTTTCAGCATGATAGTCCACAAGTTTGTATCGACAATGGATTTTTTCTACAGAAGGACCAGCTGCTTATTTTCCCCCCCCCCCCCCCCGCCCATACCGGCCGAAAGACTGAAACGCCCCTATGGTTTAAGTTTTACGATCAATATCGTCGTTACGCATTTCATCAGACGGTTGGTTAACTCTCAGCACGAAACGAAGCCTTTCCATACCGGGTTCGAACTTAGGCCACTCAAGATTAAATTTAAATCTCTAGCCCCGAAAAGCTTTCCTAAAGGTCAAAAAAATACTTAGAAAAAGAAAGGTTTTAAAATAATACAGGAAATCTACGGGAAAACAGAAAATCAGATCGACTGTTTGGCTTGAAAGAGCTAAAGAGCTGAATTTTTAATACCAGTTATATCTAGTAGTATGTGATAGTCCTGTTCCTCTTTAGTAATAATTAAGCGCAATTATACCACGAGGAACTTCCTGAAAAATTCATCCTACAGGGATGATTTCGAAATCACGTCTAGTCTTGTATGAAGTAGTAGCCTTGCTCATTTAGGGGACAATCCCAACCATCAGGCTAGAAGATATAGTGCCATAATCTTCTGGGACTGGGTTCAGAGCCGAGCACAGATGGGCTTCGTGCTGAGAGCCATCCGTCTGACAATGCCTAACGGCGATACCGGACGTAAAACATCAAACGTAGAAAGGTTTTAATGTTACGAGGGTAAGCGTAACACAAACAACTTTTTTGTCTGCAGAAAAAAATTAATGCAGGTAATAGAAAGAACCATTACTGATTCTTTCTATGACATTGCCCTCTATGACATTGCCCTACTAATATTCTACTTACGTGGATCATATGCAATTGGCCCATGTGAATTTATTATTTAAGGTTTAACCTGGTATAATACTTTTTTTTAACGTCCTGTAACGACTTACTTCAAATCTAAAAACGACATCCGACCGCTTACATCAGACTTAGTCGTTGAGTTTGACGCGTACTAAATCAGAAAAGCTATGACAGGTTTCATTGTTTCCTTGTTGAAACAAAATAGACTGCGCAGACTGACATGGATGTTTCCTTCCTGTTCTAACATTATCTGATATCTGTCGTTCGTTTTCCTTGGGCAACTCACAGGATTGTCTATGGAGTGATTCAGAATAAACGCTTAGATACACTATATAGACAAAAAAAATAGTACTCTCTCTAAAAAGTCCTTTGTTATTTATATGTGGATCACCTTCACAGACACCGGACCTCACATCTAGGTATTTCCCATAGCAATGCGGGATATAAGCTAGCACTCTCTAACTGCAGCAGTATAAATTATATTTGCACGCTCATTTATCTCTAGGTTTGTTTAGTATTTGTTTTGAGATTCCTCTGAATAAAATACTGATCCTTTAAATTTGGTAATGTTTGTATTTATTTATTATTGTTATTTAGCGAGCTCAGGTACCATAGTATAAGGTAATTATTACACTACGAAGATCTTTACTCAACTAAATTTATTATTATTTGTAAAAATCTATGAGATCGAAGGTAACATAAACTAGGTTATCTTCGATCTTATAGATTTTTATTCAGTTGTCTTTCAATCACAGCTAATCAGTCAGGTAAAACAGTAATGCTGTACAATCAATGGTTTGGCATTATGAAACTCATGTTAAAAGAAGACAACTAAAAGAGGACAATCTCGACTGTCCGAAGTTGAGATTACTTTTCAGATTAGATGGTAAACAATAGTTATGGTGGCCCGATTTCATAAATCTGGAAACACTAGCATAGTTTACTACAGGATATGACAGAACTTAGCCTTTGAATATTGTCCTATCGGAAAACACTCGCATCCTTAGGTTCAATAAGTTCCCCAATCGTTGATTTTCTTACGTCGAACATAGAGGAAAACAAAGTGCAATGAGTGAGCAACTTACCTAAAGTACTCAGTATCGCTGCAGTGTGTTTTCTTAGAAGATACAGGAGTCTTTTGTCACTCCCTCGGCACGAACAAAGTTATACACCTGTTCCACAGCGTACAACAGGCACGTAGAAGACTTAATGACATCGACGACTATAGCGACTGCAAGCCTTTGTATTTTGCGAAGACGTGATCGATACTGATAAATGTTACAATATTCTACCGCGAAATGTCAACATAAACGCGCCAAAATAGCTTTAGGGCACACAATGTGTCAAATACGCAGACGGAAGTGGCTAAATCGTTCTACCTTAAGACACTTAGACAAGCGCAGAGACCGAAATAGGCATTACCTGTAGTATTTGTACAGAGCCAGTCGGATGAGTTAGTGTAGACTGCGCCGTCTAGGTGGAGTCCACGTGGATCTTTTCCAGCCACCTTAAACTCAACGACGCTATTTCTTAGAACATCTCACAGCCCAGTAATGCTTGTTAGTTAGTCTACATTTCTAGAGAAATGGTTTCTTTATCAGAAGTTAATGATTTAGAACCGGTGGGCTGTTTAACGATCATCTGAAAGAGGCCATGTTGCTTGTCTCGTGCCTACTTCGAATTAAGACCACTACCCATCTATGTTTTTCAAGCTGGTCTAGATAGACTCGACAAGAACACTATCTAATTGTCGCCTGGATAATCCACTGCGTTTTTATACAGAAATGCTTTTGTGCCCAGCAGACAAGCTAAACCAATTGTTACGATAATGCCCCACGTTTTCACAGCGTAGAATTCATTACTTATTAACGAGGTATGTCTATGAAGGCCTATGCATCGTTATTGGTTTAGTTGTGAGCATCAATATTCAGTTTATACAATTATTAGCTTGTAGATATTTCGAATGATTCGGGTAGCCCAGTATATGAGTGATTGTTAGTGCGGATGCAATATACTAGCCGCATGAAAAACAACTACAACAAACTTGGAATATAATAATCAACTCGTTTTAGTGCCGACGTTTGGAGGCCTCACACGATCCATTTTATATGTCTATTGTATCCAAAGTGAAAACTCCGTTCGCAATGAACTCGAGGTTCTTCTTACTTTGCATGAAGACACATTTCAGCAACAATTAACGTTCTTCTGATAGTCCGCAAACAGCTAACGGTGCGCGTCCTGTTAATTTAACAGCTATTTGCATATTTAAAAAAACCCGCGCCTGACTCCAACAGTTTTATGACCGAAGTTCACCTGTGTAGATTCAGCTTCGTCTTACCGAATCTTACCTATTGCTTATAATAACAGCATATTTTGAAAAATATGTAAAGCTCTACATCATTCTACAAAGACATTACGCAAACTTCTTAATTCGCTTTTGAACATTAGCCCTGTCCTCTTCCTGTTGCCCTCTGATAAACCCCATTGCCACAAATATGAAAATAATAACGTTATAAAGTAATACTTGCCGAGCTGATGGGAACTTCATATTCAATCCGACCTCTATATTATTTGCATCCAGCATCACTACTTTAATTGCGATTAAGTTTATTATCGCAAAGCGGAACAAAAACGGAGAAGCCCTATTCCGCTTCATTGTTACCGGAGGTGTATTTCTGTTATCTTACGTTCATTGCATTAATACGAATTTCGGTCCAATAAGTGACATTTTTCTCCTTCTTTGATTCCAAACCTTCTCTGTGTTGATTCTTTATGAATCCGCAAATTGTAGCGTACCAAATGAACACTTTCCAGACGCTCGAGGCGGCAGTGTCATTCCATCTGAGCGAAGAACCAAATGGGCTCTCGACCGCATACGATAAGGGCTGACTGTAGAGTTTTGAAGGCAACGTTGTTAGGACTATCCAACACGAAGATTACTCGCTAAGTTTACTAAGTTGCGCGCAACGCTTACAAGCTTAGTGTTGAAGCTGTTCGCGAGGCGGGTTTGTAGTTTCCTATCGAAACTATTCATCATCAAATCTCGGCAAGCCATAGAGTTGTAGTACAGAGTAGAGCCATTGAGAGAGACATAGTAAGTACAACACATAGTACGAAAGGCCTAGCGTGCAAAGGCTAACGCTAAGAAAAAAGCAGCTTTAGATGCACGTCCAAGGACTTTCGCCGTGAGCACCACACAGTGGTCTTGTTTTCGACGTAGGCAGTGCTTTTCCAAAGATTCTTCCTAAATGGTGCCCTCAACAGCTTTAACTATTGTGAGATAAAAATTTTGATAGTCCTTCTTGGTCTAACAAATATCATCCCTTTCAAAATGAATTCTCTCCATTACAGCAAGGTTCTATTTTTCAGTGCCCTTTAAAAATCGTGGACCTCTCAGGTCCTGCAGTATCAAATCCAAGGAGTCCTCCAGGATACTGCTGTCCCAGTACCATAATTTGAACTCTGCAGTTAAACTACTAAGTAGATAGTTCGCTGCGATGTAAAAGAGTGTTAAGCAATACAACTCTTCTTGTTGAATGGCGCACTTAGAGTAACACACCATTGAGTTCAGCAGAGTTTGACAGGGCTTCGATGTATAAAAGATATTTTTAAAATATCTTTACATATACTTTATACATATATATTTTTATATATATCATATATAAAATATATATGTGTATATATATATAACGCCCGCTCAAACTGCTTTGGATTACTACATCCCCTTTGACAGAATTGAGAACATTTTCAAATCTAGTTTAAATCTTGTTACTAGCCAGATAAGCTTCAACAAAGGCCCTCTTGAAATATGGCGTGGTTTCGTGGTTTCTCTACGAGACCACAAGATAAAGAATTTCCATATTGTGCTGATAAGGAGAGTTAGGTAACGAAATCTTAATGGTTTCTTCGTGGCTGATCAGTTTGATAACTGGTTAAATATTGGTTTTTGAATGGTTGCTGATTTGCTCGAATAGAATTTATGAAACTGATAGAGAAATCAGCCATTCGTTGCCAAAGTTTTTCTCTTACGGGGGCCTGTGGTCCATTAAAAGCAATGGCTAATTTAGCCTTCATTTGTACAGTTAACGGTATAGGTTCAAATGCAAGGACAATTCACCTAGTCAGGCCATTCAGGCTTGTCGGACCGCTTTGATACTTCCCTCCGCTCGAGCTGTCGAAGACACTCCTAGATGTGAACTATCATTTACACTGGACCAATTTGCTTTGACTCGGTCTTACGTATTGAAATGTCCGTAATCCTTTGCATTATATGTTGTTGTGGTAAAACGCGTCTACGAATGCGATTTGGTCTATCACCGTGAAAAATTCCACTGTGAAGACAAAGAGCCAAATTGTCATCAAAATGCCGGTTTCACTCACGGCACTAGTAGGTCCACTCTCAAAATAGGTCCACAATCCACACCATTTTTTCACTTTCTTAACGGTGCCCAGGATTCAATTTCTTTTACGGAACTTGTTTTTTTACAAGTGACAACAAAATTGACACTTCCAAAAATTAAGCAATCGATTTATATAAAGGAAAACTAAAAGACACATAAATTGCTAAAAAGATTCCAATCTATTTTCTACCGTTAGTTAATCCAGGATACTTTTTTTCGGGTCTACAAGAAAAGTGATCATTTTATTCCCGGTCTTCTGTATTACAATAATTTTTGAATTACTTAGTCTACTCAAATCTGCACGCTCTTACCAAATAGGTAATCTCATAAGGCACATATGTTTCAATCAAATGAGATATAAATAAAACAAAATTTTCAAATAGTTGGTCCTTTTGATGTTCTAAATACGTAAGGATTACTTAAGTCTATTGTTTATTAAAAAATAATTTGAGTATTATGTCACAGATCATTCAACTTATCTTACCATTATCCAAAAAGGGTAAGTACTAGGAATAAAAGATAAACATCATTTTTTACTGTCGTGAATTCATAGCGATGTGAGTCACCGTTTCTGATTGTTGATGGTGTTTAACGGAAGAAAAAAACGGTGTGCTAAGCACCACGTTCTTATATGTGATAGGGACTTAATATATTTCATTATATGACATTTTGTCCACTCAGCGTAATACCTATCGATTGAATTATATTTAAACGTGCCAACGATACCTGGTACTATCAGAGCTTCTTGTATTTTAGAACTTCGGTAGAAGTAATTAAATCCTTTAGAAAATTAGCACAATCCTTGATGAATATAAAAAAAAAATTTACAATCTCTGACCATCTTTTCGGTGCCGAAATACTCGTCATGGATTTCCCCATTAACGGGACCATCAAGTCTTTTCAGTTTAGGGTGTTTTGTACAAAATCAAGATCTGACAGAAAATAGACGAAGGTTTGACGTTCAGTATCGACATTGACATTAAACATTGCCTCAGACAACTGATTTCTCAATATTAATACAAATGGGTCTGCGCTCAGTTTCGAGCCTTAACCACATTTGTATACCTCTCATTTCTTCATGGACAAACATGTTACGATTACCCTATCGACAGACAATAATCGTAAGTAGTAATGCGACATTTGGGATTGGTCCGTTTCGGTAAAATAGACTTCTCTTTTATAATAATCACGATAATAAAAATCAAACCCTCTAGAAATTATACGTGAGAAGCATATTTAAAAGCTTTAACGTTTATTATTAAAGAAAGATTTAGCTAATTGGTAAAACCAATTAGCTCCTGTTGGCTCCAGGTTGTTTGCAATAATATTGGGTAGCCTCTATAATAACATTGCAAAGGTCGGGAGTAGCGCATGTACTGTTTTCAAGACGCCAGGCGCTCGCAACTAAAAACTTATGTTCAAACAATAGCGTACAAAGGCAAGTACTTTAATAAACGGTAGTAACAAAAAAAAAACGGTAAAACGTTCTGAATATTAACGATACTATGAACTCATTGATCTTACATGCCAACTTCAAGGGTAAGCCCACTCTTTATAACTTCCACTATGAATTTGTTATGTAGCGAAAAAAAAAAACAGTTCTTGGAATTTTTCTTAACTAACCTTGCTACAAATGGGATCAGCCTGTGGATCACCATGATAATGTAGTGTGTCTGCAAGCTTAACTTAAAAACACGCGTTGATCTAAATTCGAATATGAGATCATACACATCTCGTTTCCTATTGAAAGCCAGCCGTCTAAAGGTAATGGCTCGGATGCATAACAGGAAAAAAGAAACAATCTATGCGCTGAAACTCACCCAAAATCTTGAATTTATACGAATCATAAAAAAAAAAAACAAATTGATATATACGACCAATTTTCGGAGGTAGATTTAGTTTGATCAAAGATTTTGATATATATATATATACCTGCTGATGCCAAAGAAATCGTCAACCCATAGAGTATTAATGTCAATTAGCGAGAGGCCCTGTTCATGGATGTGACATTACCAGGGCTAGGAGTTATTTTGGACCTATTGCCAGAACTACCCTTCACACAATGCTTCTTTATAAAGTCTTTGCCTTTTTTCAAAAGGTTCTCCTCTAAAACAATATAGATGGAGTACAGTGAAATACCAAGCCACATGCCAATGTATCCACCAATATATCCAAAGGCTTCGATTGCCTGCAATTAAGAAAGAAAATATGAGTATAAAGGTATCGTAAGAAGTCACATTCATAATCATTTCTGAGTTTGATTCTAAGCTCTGTGCCGGACTTCACTTCAGAATTAAAATATTTTTAAAATACCACACTGAACTATTTCGAAACTTAATAGTTTATTCCACACTTCAACAGCAGTCCAACAGCCCTGCTCTTTCAAAAAAAAGGCTCGCCATGAAAACCTTTTCAATGATTAGGTGCAATTTTATCGTTTTTTAAGGTGAACTTTTCGGCTTAATATGATTTCTTCTAGCATTGTCTCGTTTATCTCATGAAATATTTTTCACACACAAAGATAAACCTGTACACTTCAGGCATTCTTGTCTTTTCGACCCTTGCAAACAGTCCACTGCATTACTGCATCATGTTTTGGTGATCCACATGAGTAGGTTTTAAGATATATTTAGTATGCTTTACTTTTCTTCGAATGGCTAAAATTATATGGAAACAATGATTTTAATATAGGCTACAAATAGAGTATAGTGTCTGATTTAGGACTAGCGGAATTCATGCGCGCTATCTATAAATGGAGTTTGAACTTGGAACGACCACAGGCAGAAATATCCGGAAAAAGACTTCAGCGGAGAATGACACCCTTTCTCGGGGCCGCAGATAACGCGACAAGAGTTTTGGGTTCACATGTATTGGAATTAGCACGTCTGATGAAACGGGAAATTCAGAAATGGCCACAGCTAATTGGTTCGCAGGCATCACTCCTATGCAATACTATCAAATGAAGTCGCGGGCTGGTAGAAAGTGAAGCTTAAATAATAAGGTGCGTTAGTCTCGGCAGAACCAAGTCCAGCCGTAGGAGTTGAGTTCGGCACTACACTGAGTGTCTATGTATAATTCAGTTCTGTGTGCACCACTGCATTAATGTCGCCTTACAAAAATTCAAAAAAAAAAACGGCTTGCACTTACGTAATTATAAACGTAGGCAGGACTCATTTATTCGCTCATGTTTGTGCGGTGTGGATGCTTTATACTTATATGTTACATTATTGTTTGTTGAAAAGAAACTCAGCGACGTACGAACCGTAATAGTATGGGAGTATTCATAAATGGTCTGCAAATCGGATCCAAATGAGATGGTCACGGAAAAAGACGAATATCCTTCGGGGGTTTTAGTTTCATCTTCATGTAGGCCGACCAACTTCACGTCATACGTTAACTCGCTGTAACAGTAAGAGAACGAACAAACCTTTACGATTAAAAATTAACGCGGAAATTATTAAATCGTATCTTATGGTTTTAGTTTCTAAATATCCAGCTTGAAGTGTTTATATGTCATATGTCTGTTGTAAATAGAGCTACACGTATTCACAGCGACGTCTTTCATTGTCTTATTTATTTAATTCAGTCTATTTTTAGTTTTTCAGTTACCTGCTTCAATCACAGCCTCAACTTAAAATCTAAATATGTCACGGATACTAACCAAAAATTATTTTTTTCCAAATCCACGAACGACCCGTTTATTGGAAGTCACGACTAAACCTCTATTGGTGCCTATAAAAAAAAAAATCCAACAGATTGGATTTCCAAATTCAAAAAATAACGCAAAAGGGAGCGAAAAAACCAAACAAAAATATTTCTTTAGGGCTTACTTGGCCGACAACTGATACCCGCTGTTCAAGACCAATCGCTAATTTCTCCAAAAGAAATGGGATTTTTTCTCATTTTTCCTTATACTTTAACGAATTTTTGTACTGTATATCTAGAGGTGCCGTTGCCGAAGGTATGTTTATTTAAGATTAAATGGACAGTTTTCAACACATTGTTCATTCTGATAACACCTTCAATCTGGACCTAAGCTACCCACTAGTATGCGTTTAAATAGTAAGTGTATCAACTAGGAGAAAATGTGTTTTTGAGCCATTTTGATGAGTTTTAAAACTGTTTAAATCTCAATCTTATTGAAGTTTGCGTAATAAAAGGAATGATCAGTAACCGAATAACGTTGACCTTCAATTTAGAGCAAAAAGAGAAGTTCTTAACCTTCGTAAGGGGTTTATGCAGCACGAAAAAAACAGCTGGTCTCGGCTGAATAGCACTGCTTTTTGCCGTGATGAGCGTTCCGCAAAAATTGATTTTTTTTTGCATTATGAATAGCGGGATAAGTGTATACCCGCTTCGACAAACAGCTCGCCAACGTTCGTCTAAATCCGAGTATATTCCTATCGTCATATTAGTGGATACTATGCGACCCAACCTGGAACCCCGTTACATTACTTCGGTTATCCCGTTGTAGCTATCCGGCTACAAGAATCAAATTTAGAACAAAATTTAATTAATTTCTTTCACTTTGTTGCATATTCTGTTCTGTTGATTGACTAAGCTGTGTTTTTTTTAAACCTATACGTCCCACTAATTTCATTCCAATTCACCCGTTAACGTACTGCATGTACTCTATTTCTTAAAGAAACAAACTGAGCGTGAATAGCCAATAAGAAATTAAACGTATTTTACTTTATTTATACTTATAAAGCCCACCTTTAGCTGTATACGCAAAGCTAGTGTCAGATCATACCTTACGCAGACCTGGTACCATACCATTGTTGTTCGTGCTCAATCACTAGGACCACGTTGTACATCTGTTTCATTTTCCTATTGCAGCTAATCTATTTGAGCTTATTTTATAGAGTTTAAAAACCCAAGCAAACCTCTCCCACATACAAGCTCTAAACAAATTCCTAACGGCTGCCAATAAAATTTTTTAAAAAACAAGCAACTTACCGAAGGTGACATCACACTCTAAGCGAGAAACTAACTCTTCCGGAAAAGGGTCATGCGTATAAGTAGTATCCGGTCGAAATATATGTTAAAGAGGTTCATATTTCGTTGCAAATTAACCAAATTAATATCCCATTTGGAAAAAAATATTTTAATAAAAAAGAATTAACGCAACTTTGCAGTTTATATTTCGGAAATTTTTACCCATTTCGCCAAAGAATCGCCATTTTGCCGCTAAATGAAGAGAATAAAACGTCTAAAATGTCCTGTTAAATCCAATCGCATGTATATATTGCAAAAACTGCAGTAGAATACATTTCGTTTGTGGGACAACGCCGTTCCTAAATTCGGACTGTTAGCCATGCCTGCATATGACGATAACCTTGTGTCTAAACAAGATTACATATACACAATACATATATGTCCTATTTTTGTCGTTATGCTTGTAAGTAGAATCACGGCAGTACTTTGTGTGATGCCATAAAACAACATAGGCTGCTTATAGCAATGTGCAAATGGTGAACCCACAAACCCGGTAGGAGCAGCCGATATGCTTGAATGAACATACACAGTTTTACAGAATTAATAAGCAAAAAAACATTTATCTGACCTAAATGATTGAAGTCAAGGATGTTCAAATGGACTCACTGGCAGGGCTGGCCGCATTGCGATTTGCAGGGTCCAACGGCATCTATTTTTACCATTTGGATAGAACATGGTCCTGTAATATACAGATTGTATAATATAAGATACATATTTATATGCCAATATGAATCAATAAAGAAAAAATTACTTTCGAAAGGGTCCTCAGCTAGCACCCACTTTCAGCCCACTCGAGTTACACAGATAACGCCAAAACGCTCCTATTAATAGAGGAAACATTACAAAGAACCTTGAAAGGTACTGTCCATCACTCGTGTAAATGATAATATCCTCCTAGGAAAAAGTGTTCTTTCTATTTAACAGTCTTTTTTTTTTTCACTATTCAGCCTAGTGTTGATACGCCTTATCTCTGGAAAGTTTCCTGATCATAAACTGGTAGTCGGATGCGTATCCTTTATCAAAAGCCCCCACTTCACTTTTTGTTAGCTGATCAATATTCTGCCTAATTGCTCTTCACTTCATGTAGCACGACATATGCAGAGTCAGTACCTCTGGTCACCGGCAAAACGTATGATCCACAAGGTGCGTCCTTTACTAGCGCTTTCTTTAGCAAAAACTTTGTAAATGTTCTATCTTGTAGAGGTCTAGTTGAGCCTCTCGCAGCCAATGATGGTTTTCGACGTCATCTGACGCAAGCTGTCAAGAGCGCCTTAGATAAGTTCCAGGATAATCACGGTAGGCGTAGTGCTTGAGTTAAAAGCCGTGATTGATTTTTACAGTACCTATGAGCTCAAGTTATTGCGAGAAGCGGTTTGGAAAAAATTAAGATAAAAGTTCATAGCCATAACCTCTTATATTTCGAAGTTACAACTAAGTGCGGGGCCTAATTCAAGCGTCAACTAATTATATGCTGTTGCTGATGACAATAAGTACAGTAGCATATTCCAGCAAAAACCATGTATGTACGTAGGACTTGCAAAAATCTTGCTAAAATAGAGTTGCATACTTTACGTAAACTGTGAAACTTTGATATAAGAAAAAGTAACAGCGCTACATTGAAGCTTGAAGAGCTGGTCTGGCATATTTAGTACTCTACATATATTGGTTGCACGAAGAACGATGAAAAGATGCTAACGACAGAGGCAAAACGATGTGCAAGCCGAAGTTACGCCTTTTAATAGCCCGGTCACTACTGAAGTTAAACCGCAATAATCATCTTGACGCGCAAGACTTTCGTTATCCAATATGGCCGTTGTATATTTAAAACGACGGTACGATCTTAAGGTTAACCAAATATTTGAAATCACTATGCTGGTAATAACTTCAAAGCACAAATAAAAGTTTAGATAACGATCATCATCAGAACGCGTCAATGTTTTAGATTGTCACAGAGGTTTTCCCTTCGAATTCAAGTTGAAATATATCATGTGTTCGATTAACGAGCGCTTGCCAGCTGGTAAGCATCGCAATATCTATAGACATAAAGGCCTGTTCCCAAATACTTTTTATTTCTAAATTTATCTTTCTGTTTTAAGTTTAGTGTAACGAAGCTAAATTTTATACGGCCTACCTATCGACGATGAATGCAACCCATTGCTTAGAAAAATTATATCTATTTTTAGAACATATTTGTAGAGCAATTACGTGTAATACATCAAATGGTTCGTAGAACATTCACACCCACGTCATTATGCTCCTAGGGGGATCATAGTTCTTGGGTAGCTGTTCCCTGTCCTGCTCACTCTCTATACCAAAGAGCGACGATGTCCATTTAGGCTTAACAGTAGTTCCACGCTTGGACCTCCCCACTACGGATTATTCAAAGAAAGAGCACGACGTTTGTATTCCTTTATGGCAAATATGTTCTAAAAATTGTTTTTTTATAGCTAGGTGCTGATGTGCATTCATAATCAATCAGTAAGAAATTTAAAATCATGTTAACCAAAATTTAGAAAAGAGCTAATTTAGAAAACCACATAAAAATGTCCTTTTGTGCCCATAGGTGCTACATTGGCCGTCTGCTACCCAAATACTTGTTCTTGATGATCGAATATATGCGAACATTTAACTACAGCTCAGAGCGAAGATTTTGTGAATCGAGTTCCATTTGAGCCGTGTTTACAACACCATAGCCCTGAATGAGAAATTCTCCGGAAATTCATATTTTTCCATACAGCTATGTAAACTCCTTTCGTTTTTGAAAGAGTCCGGCCATCCAAAGGAAGATAGCGTCAAATAAAGCAAAAGTGCTATTTCGATGATGAAAGCTTTAAGTGCTGTCACCTCTGAACAATAAGCGAATCCATAGACGAAGCCTCGAAAACAAACTATAATTATATTGTAGATGAACGCATATGATTAACTTTCAGCATTAACCGAAGCTGAAAAACGGTCAGTTGTTCGAAGTTACCCCGTTTACAGCCTTTGGCAAAAGATAAGCCTAGACCTACGCCGCTTTTGATTGTAAGATATATAATATTATCATAGTGTTTACTTTGTTTCTACTTATATAGAAAAATTTTAATTTCTCCAACCGGACAATTACTTTCGTATTACAGAGAATGTCAATCAACCGTAAATAAAGCTAGCCCAGTGATCAATTAAAATGGTCAATAGAAAAAATCTGTTTTGTGACAACTTATAACGTTATCTTCGATCAAAAATTAGAATTATTTATCTAGTCTTAACCTCGTTGCCTTTTGTTGCACATTCGATCCGGGTAGGCGTACTCAGCGAATTCGTAATCCGGCCGAACACATCCACACGTTTTCAACTCACGAGCCATAACGCATTCCTGGACGCAAATCTATATATTTAAAACGCAGTATAATAGATATTTTGTTAGATTTTTTTAGGTCTACCAGGGAATAATACCTAAATGTTGACCTTGCCTTGCATACTTCGATTTTTAAAGGCAGTATTTAAGCGGATCATGTTCCCACAACGACGTTAGTTACTTAACAACTAGATAATAAAGGAACGTCTTTACCGCTAGGTGGTCCAATATCAAAAATGAAACAGTAACGCGAATTTTTCACAAACTTAGCTTTTTTTTTTTTTATTATTTACAATCGAACTGTGCAATATTTCTATCTACGACCTACGCTTATTTCGCTACTGTGCAAGTCCGCAGTACAATGGCCTACAGAGACTTGAAAGGCAAATTAGACACTGTGTTGAGCTGTGAGCAATTATCCTATTAAGGAGTTATCAGGATTTTTGGGAAAAAAAAAATTGTAATTTATGAAAGTAGTGTCTGATTAGTCTGGTGGAAAGCTCTTGCGTCTTCGCGGTGGCTAACGGTATTGCATAGTAGGCATGGTTTATATCTGTTTAGTAATTTTGCTTTTCTAATAAAAACTCTGTTTATGATAACGTCGAAGTGTTCAAATGGAGAAACCAAACACAAACCATTATTTACTACAGTTGCTTTGTAAGAGTATATCACCGGTCTGGTTCTATCAATACACAAACATAGCCGCCTGTGAGTGCCATCGAAGATCAATTTTTCACCACATTCGCAATTTGATGCATAAGTAGGCAAATGTAAAGAAGCAAGCGTCTTTACGTCTCCGTTTGTCATATTCCTTCGAATTATACAGCACTTGCCTACTAGTAAAATCGAGATAAACCATTTTAACACGCGTAGACCCGTGCACTTTGAGGTAAGTTTGTTATACTCAATCGTCACAGAACATCTTCCAGGAGGCTCATTTTCGAGTTTGAAATGTTTTTCCTCGGACCCTTGAAGCCAACAACTCACCGTCGTTTTAGTGGCAGCTTTCTCACTAGGTACAAGGCTGATAACTACAAACTGTCCGCCGCGATAGTTTGGATAGAATTCATATTCGAAAATTACTCAGATTTTTTGCCCCACCGCAAATCGATTGCTACAAACCCGAGTGGTAATAGCCGAGTGAAGGGTCTTAGATTCCAAAGAGTACCCCAAAAACAACAAAATGTTGTTACAAAACAGCTGCACGAAGATTAGCGTTAATTAACATAACATAACATAATTACTGCAAACAGCCTTATGGAATAGGTGAAGTTTTTAATCGCTACATGCATTTTTGACTGAACACATATTAATCAGAACTTGCTGCTCATGTAGCAATATTCGTTTGTTCCTTTTTTCCCTGATTTTTCACAAGCGGCCGTCCTCAATTTTACTAGCACGTACTGACTGCGTTGACTCACAACGATTTTGAAGATTGCCCCTATAATCTAGATAACTTTTGCCGTTTGCCCACAAGATAAACATCTCTAATAAATTTATCAATGTTTTCGTGAATTAGCATGACGTTTAACGAAAAAAAATCCTGAAAACATGTTTACACATCTTTTTATTGGGGTTAGAAGACGATGCATCAACGATACACATTGTTCGAGCTAGCGGTAATGTTCTAATATAAGTTATTTCATTTCTTAAGCATTTACGCTTTCGATACGACGAGTTACTCTAACTACGTGCACTTATACGACATACGCTGCACGATACATACATAAACAAACAAATAATAACTAACAAAATCGCATTTCATTATAGAAATTCGATTATTTTCTAGCCAATATATGAAGAAGCGGCTATTTGCTCTACAAAATACTAGTGAGACCGAATCATGTCTTCTACATGGTTGCAAGATTCACGTTTATATCACTTGATCCGCTAATTAAACATTTTCGATATGAAAAATGAGATACAAGGAAGGAAAATTAATTTGCGGAACGTAAACGTGTGTCCTGCTGAACAATATATGGGAAAGTTTCAATTTTTTTGTTACTCATAATTACTTAGCTAATCTTACCTCATAGTTTTTGAATCCGTGAAACTGGCTAAAGTAACCCATGCTTATATAGTCCATACACCTTGATGCGACCGGGGGAGGTAGCCGTTCAAAGGATTTCTGTTTCCAATTAAGACATGATTTTAGATTAAGTCATACGCCTATAATGTGTTACTAAGTAATCATCATAGATATAGTACACATATGTATAATATATTAAATTCCCGGACCCGCATACTTGTTCGGTATAATATCCGTATGAACTGTATTGAGATTTATGTCGTACAAATGATGCTGTTACAGTAATAGTGATTATAATATAAGAATAATTACAGGAGCAATAATAAGCGACGCCATAAAATCGGTCGAGAAGAATAGCTGCGTGGTCATTAGAGACATTGTTATGTCAACACTAGTGACGACTATCATCGCATAACTTTTTCTTCTGCTGACTTATCGGTACTGAAATCTTCCCGTTCTCATAAATCAGATGAAAACTTCCTGGGTCATCGGTGGGGCCCGGAATAGCGCATCCACATACTGAACATCGGAGACCGCCGATGGGCTATCGAGGGCCCAAATTCCCAAAGACGCTGGAAACAATAGGCCGTTTTGCTTATAAGCTTTGTGGAGGTCAATGATTAATTCTGGATGCCATGTCTTCGTTGGGACACGGAAGCTTTTGTGTTCTAAGGGAAACCGTATATAGTCAACTGCTTTCAGTAAAGACAAACTCCCTTCCTCTAGGAGCAGATTTTTTTTGTTTTTTAGGAGTTTCCTTCGTGTATTTGTGAAAACTCAACTCCAATTCAAAATATTTTTATTATATTTCCTCCTATCCTAAGTATCTGTGGTTAATAGAAAGAGCTGCCTAAGATTCGAAAAGCTTAAAAGGTAGAAATTATCCTATCCTTCAACTCTTCGAAGGCGGCCTGTTACTCAGCCTTTAACATGAACATAATATCTCTTGCAATGAGTTGCCTTAACGATTATAGCGCGATGCCAACGGGTTAGTAACTTTTTCAAAGTCCTTCTGTCCCTAAAATAACATCGTCTCATCACTAAGTGAAGGTCAGCTTATCAAGTCTATTAAGATAATACAGCAAGACTCTTAAACCCTGACAAATCCTTTCACATGATTCTAATAGACGAAAATCTTTCTAACTCTCCCCGTCTTGCTCAACCCCTGATAGCATCTAATATTTTTTATGGATAGGAACTTCTTGCCAAACAATACGCTGAACGCTTCCGCTGGCAGCGGATCACCCGCGCCAGTTACATTCAAGCTCCAAACAGCCTGAAATTAACTATTTTTGACCTCCAAAACTTTTACTGTTACTTCGCTCATTTGATTTTTGAACCGCAGCTAACTAACCTCGGAGCGCAAAATAAAGTAATGAGAACGAAGTCAAAGAACCCCTTTTATTCACTTTACCTTTTATGGTGCACCATTATGCTGTATATCCTAATACGTCGCCAACTTTTTTTCAAAAAGCTAACTATAACTTTTGTCCTGCCCGCCTGCATAGTTCCAAAACGTTTTACGGTTTTCGAAAAATCGCACACTGGTGCAAGGCGATCTCCGCTGGCCGTCTAGAAGCGCCAAATCGTTTCTCTAACATCTTTTTGATTTCCATCTCGAGCTGTAGACATCAACTTGTTACAATGATAATGCAAGTCAACCTGTAGATCTGAAGGAATCGCTTTCTCCATTGCAAGGAAAACTAACTCACAGTAAGACCTCTAACGACCCATCCACGTTACTTCAGTGAATCGGCATGGTCATAAATGAATTTCCATAATCTCAGTAGACCTTTACGTAAACGTAACGTTAACCACCAAGACACTTTTTCTTTACTCCATATATATAATTACAGGACGCTTCGCTCAAACTCGGATTTTTTTTGATACGTTTCTTGCAGCTTTACAAAAGCAACTATCTGGCACTTATACTTCCGAATGGAAGCTTATTCTAAAGAGGATGCGAACAAGTTTATAGGTAGGAGAAAACCGTAGTTCATCGTCGGTATATAAATGAAAATCTGCTATTATTTAATATGTTTGTGCACAACAAACCCCATCCAAAAAGAAAAAAGCTTCTTAAATTACTCTAAATCGATGATATATTGCGCCGTAGTCAAGTATACGGCTACAAACGAAGCAGACTCCATTGCAGAGTAACAAAAACCCCACGACATACGAAAGGTATCTCGGGGTTAATCGACGGCGTCCGAAAATATATTTCTAATAATTTTTCTGTTTTGATAAAGTCATTAATTACGAAATTTTATACGAATTTAACTATCAAATTACCGATACTTCACAAAGACGTCACACGTCGTTGAAGTGAGCCCGTACCTGTTCGATGGAGATGGCATAGTGAAGACCCTGGCGCAGGTAAATTGGAGAAAGTCTTTCAGGAGGACACACCTGTTTTATTAGGAAGCATTCCAAAAATATGTTTTATTATGAATAATCCACATTTTCGGGTAATAAGTCTTATTATTAATAGAGAATAGAGAAATTAATAGAAAACAATTATCGCATTTTTTACAGTTTTAATTGAAGATGTAATGTTTCTTCTTTCTAATGTAGTGACTAAGATTTTGTCCTAGATTTTTGGAGAATAACTTGTTTATTAATTTAAAAAAATGGCGAATCGAAGAAAAACTCCTTCTCCCAAAGAAGCAAAATGATCTAAAAAATGTTTATTATACAAATTAAAATTACTTCTAGTGGTCGTAAGGCTTAGTAGAAGAAACATTCCAATAAGGCCATTCTTTTTTTCCAATTGTTAAACGCCATTTAAAGGTTATATAAACAAACATCATCCATGATACTATGTGATTGCCTTTGATACCCGGGAAAGACTGCTAATAACCATTTTAATTCAGCTTAACAGTTGACACAAATACACACGAACACTCAATAAAATAAGACGGTTATAAATTTACCACTATTGTTCACTTTTAAAATGACATTATTTAAAAACTTAAAAAAAATTTATTGGAACTGGAAAAAAGATCTTCGTAATCCCTTCTCACTTAGTACTATCTAGCTATTGATGAGGCGAGTACATATTTAGATACAATTTTGGGCCCTTGTTATAGGCTTAATGACCTGTTCCTTGACCGTCCTTATACTCGAACTTAATAAACTGAGATTTGAGCTCGTGAGAACTCATGAGAGTTTATGAAGCTCCCGTCTACTATTTTGGACCTAGTTCCAAAACCCTCTTCCAGTGCAAAATTTCTCAGCCGCTGTAAATAGCTGATATTTTTAAAAATATACCCCACTATTTATCGTTGAAATAGTATATATAATAAACTAAAGCAATAGTGGTTCTTGTGAGTTGTGTAAATATGGGGAATCACAACTAGCCTGAAGCTGGCGTAAAACTGTTGTCAAAAAAAAACAGCTTAAAATTTTATCACCTCTTTCTGATGAACAATGATAGGATACTTGTTGACTGCTGAAAACCTCGCAGTTGCGTTGGTGTCCCACATTGAACGCAAATGAAGCTCTGTATAAAACATAATAAAAATGTAAGTTAATTAAATATATATATGCCAATAAAGTAACATGTATGTCCATAATCGGATTAAAAAAATGTATATAGGATGAGATAGCAGAAGGCAAAAGACTGGGTGATCATGGTTTTTAGGAGTGGTTACTCTAAGTAGGTAAAGGAAATTACGTTTCTGGGGACGGACTAGTAATGGCCCCAGGACATGCGGCAGGTACAATACCTGCGTGATTCTTTTTCGGTGTGGTACAAGCTTTGCATGTTTTTCTATCTAACATCAAGAATACAGTAAAGTCTATCATTTCTGCGAACTCCTCGGAGAGGTGAACGCCACTTCGAACCGCACCTTGATGCAGGGTGTTCGGCGGCATACGCCAAAAAGGTAACGAAGGTAATTGGCCTTAACCAATGGCCCGGCCGCACTCGTCTTGTAAATTGATAAGCCCTCCTAGTATTACTGCTGTAGACAACTGGAGCTTAAGTTAACTGTTCGACTTTTTCTGACCTAATACATTGGGACTAATGTTCCCTCGGAGTTTAAGATGAAGCTGTAGAATGCTGAATTAGTATGGACCGCACTGAATATCGACGTTGAGAGTAAGTGCCGTGTGCTGGACGCGGTTCCTACTAATTTTTTGAAGCACACGTGCGTCTTCGTTCCTCGGGTACGAAACGCTAAGCGGGCTGTTGGGTTCATTGATGTCCAGTAGTAGCTTCCGACCATCGTGGAGGGAGTCCGTTGAAGGTCGGTTGAAAATAGGTGACTTTACTGTCGTTGCCAAGATGGCACACAGCATTATTTTCGGACAACTCTTTCTAAGGGATTTGTTTTAACTGAAAAAAAAATTTGGTATGCCCTTTAAGTCGAAATAAGTTGCGGCATCTGTCAAGGAACAAACGTGTCTGGATGAATGAATAAACATAGAGGAGATCAAAGAGGAGTGATAAGCCGGTGCCCCAAAAGCTTGTAGACGTGCCGGCACGACCTTACGCAAGAGTGCGTCTGGTTTTTATGAAACCGCTGTGCGTCCCGGAAGACGCTTCCTTGTTAGTTCTTCTTGAAGTTCGTGAAAACTATTGCACTTATTTTGTTCCTTCCTATTCGACACATAGAGGTTATGCAAGAGGCTCGTCGTTTGTCTATTAGAATCGTTTGGGTTGGTTTCTAGCCATAGAATTGCTTTAACGCCATAGACGCCGTCGTCACGGACAACGCGAGATACTTCCGGGGTCGGCAAGTCGAGCAGTACTTGGTGCGCTCCAACATTCGTCATCTGAGAACTGCTACAGGTCATCTGCAAGCAAATATGCTGGCGGAATGAATGGACGATCCACAGAGTTACGCAGCAGCTGTGTGCGCAATTGCTGAGACGTCCAGCTCCTCCGTTTTTGCGATGCTGCCAATAACTGCTTTTATGCTGAAGACTGCGGTAAGCGAAAATCTAACCGCATTTGAATGGGTTCAAAGCCGTTTTGCCCAATGAGCCTCAAGTTGCAGTACACCCAATTTCTCCGTCTCTGAACTTTGGAAGGCGGCTCATGCCCTCAGCTTCTCCGCTGAAGACAGGTCTCTAAAATACGTGCGTATCCATTATGCGAGGCACGGCAGCGGCGTGTCACGACTAATTTAACAGAAATCTGGAAGGACTGGACGCAGGGTAAAAGTGTAGATTATATAAATAATCTTTAGTCCGCTCATTGGTAGCCACAAGCGGTCGGGCCAGAAAGAGGGAAAATAATGGAAAGCCCGGATTATAGAGAAAGTAGAGTAATGGAAAGCCTGCACTGTGGAGAAATTTAAGATCCTTTGTAAGATACCATCGGTCACAAGTCCGAAGGTCTTGTAAAGTTCCCAAAGCGGTGGCTTCAATAAACAATGTTGAAAGTACATCCAATCTTGGTTAAGTTAAAAAAACTAAGTTACGATTATTAGGTTGGAGGGAGATGCGACAAGTTTATACGAAATAGATTTAAGTGTAGCACCGTCAAGCAATGCGTAAATTTTGATATAACAAGATTTTTGCATCGAAACTCTGAAAAACGTCTACCGACTGTTAGTATTAAATTAGAAATATGTTCGTTACAAGCCGCAATTTTTACTTCCAGGTCATCACAAGTAATAGTAGTTTTTTCATTTGAATGTCTATCAAACGGACACGTTACTAGTGCAAACCACAGAGACATAATTATATGGTTACCAGTGCAGCATTTTTGATGCTGTATACGTGCGTTCTGTAAGAGGTCGCAATCAACCTTATACCTCGCGGGTCCGTAAAATTTATAGCAACCTATGTGACATGAATGTGAATAATATTTTTTGGTTTTAAAAGTCAAAATACGACTGCTCCACTATAGCCCTATAGGGCAGCTCCCCTCGTTACTCTTCGAGACGGCCTCGAGAAATGCATAGAAGGGGCAAAAGAGCAATGAGCTGAAAAATGTTCTGAACGTACGCACGTTTGAAGGGTATTTGTACATAATACATATTGCGCGTTAATATAGATATGAATAAGTCATAATAAAAGGGAATGCAGGTTGTTTAGCCTATTAGAGCTGAATTTGTTTTCCGTGTGTTAAGCATTAGTACTTTTTGTATTGACTAGCATGCACCGTGACCGATTCTGGGTACTGACAAGTACATACTACCCTACGGCCACTTAACTGATAGTAGATGTTGTAGCCTTTCTGGTAGAAGCTAACAAACATAACGAAAGGATAAATTATAGGAATCTGATAGCAATCGGCTAATCAACAAAACAAAAAGAATGGCAAAGGGCTAAAGTATACAGCGAGTATCAAACCAATTGCCGCTAGACGAAATCATGCATTCTAAGATACTCACTCTCTAACTAATTTTATACAGGGCGAAAACTTTTCGCGGCAGGTTTCAAAGGAGCAAAAAATTATTTTCTGTTATCTTTTTACTTACTCTCTTCACCTTAATCGCGACTGTGGATTAGGCTTCAAACTATACATAAATTGAAACTATATACGCTAAAGGAACCCGGGCTTTCTTTTGATAAGTGGTCAACTAATTCGAGCCCTTTTTGCGATGGTGACGGCGGGGTTTTTCTTAAATGCACCCGGTGTTTCGCAATTCTCTCTTCAGCTCAGGCAACGATGCATCGCATACGACCGTTCTTGCTTAAAAGTCAATAGTCGAAGAATACTACCTCAAAGAACACCAGCTTCCCAGCCAACAAAACAACCTTTGCTCCGCCCAAGTTGCAGGAGTGTTGTAATGTATCCACGTTTTATCTACAGTTATTAATTGATTGACGCCAAAACTCTGATTCATTTTGCTTAACGTGCTGCAAGCGAGAAATGCTTTTTCGAATTTGTCCTTGGCCCTGAGTGAGCAACCCCAGCACTTAACGTGCGGTTATGTTTTTTATACTGAATTCTTCGGAATAGATAGCAAATACATTCTTCCGAGACATCTACTCTGCATGCTATCTTTCTGACATTTAACTCAATGATCATCTAACACCATTTTGCGAACTTTTTCAATGTTATCGGCAGTGATTATGGCTGTCCCACCTGTTCGTCGTCAATAAAGCACGGCGGCGAACGATGCTTCAGAGACCCCGTAAACAGTTTCCATCTCGGTTTTCATTTGCGTAGGCCTTTTAAATGTAAGTTGTTAATGGTGGCTTAATATTGATAGTGTCCCAATTTTACGGATTACAGTGACTATTAAACAACAAATGCGCATCTAGCACGTTTGATCTTTTCACGAATATCGTTTATCAGAAATTCTTTGTAGAATAACACCATCTTTACTCTGAGGTTCCCAACCTTTGTGAGGAGACGTTGAATTCGAGATTGCATACCTCCTGCTCCACATACACTTAATAAATGTATCGTAGTTTTTTTTTATTTTGAAGGTACGATTGAGCTTCTAGTGCTATTGATGGAAATCGATTCATCATCTAAATCGTTCTCCAATGCAATATGGTAGTTCTGGTGGACCCTGTGCTTCACTCTAAATTTGTTTAGGACTTCAATTAATAAATGTCTCTAAAGGCCTCTAATCGGTATTTACTCGTTATTCAAGTTAACGATACACCAGAAAGCAACAATAACATTAAACTGTGTATTCCTCATTTTAGCTGCCGCTTACGATTAACTGTTTTTTCCCCAACTCGATTCTTTAACCCCCCCGCCACCTGAGTCAATTTAAAATAGATGTACCTAATCCTCCCTTGTACTCTGATTGGTCTCCTTCTATCTCCTCTTTGTCCGTACCCTCTCATTCTTGCCACTGTCGTCAAGGCGACTAATTCATTCTAATAAATGCGAAAACAACGTGTACAGCGGAGTGGAACGAAAAAAACATAATTGCAAACTCCTGCAGCGCCAAAGAGCTCTGTTAAATACCTGCTATAACCTCCTATACGATACGAAACCTGCTATAAATAAGCTCGGGCCCACATGAGACTGATCGGAAAACAGTTGTTGGCACAAACGTCACTTTTTTATCGATGTACCTTTTGCAGGTACAATGACGCCATCGTTAAAAGCGATTAAAATAACCTCCCCACCATTTTTGATCAACTTCCAGGAAAGTTACATGATAATGTGTACAAACCGTAGAGCCAAGGTGTTTTGCAGTCAAAGAACGGGTTATGTTTCTGCGCATGTTGATGTATATCAAACGTGTAGCAACCGTAGGAGGGCGCTCGAAAATGCGTCCTTTTTATCCTGCAACAAACATATTCGCAATACTTGAGGTTAATACTTATTTACCACGTAACAAAATGTTGGCGCTAGATCAGCGGCAATATCTGTTAAGTAGGCCTTAATGCGCTAAACCGATGGCACAATCGTGAAATGTCCGATTTTTTTCTACACGTGATTCCTTTTTTTGGAAAAGTTTTTTTTTTTTTTTTATGTTTAGCACTAGCACTTATTCATCCTACGTGAATAAATCGCCTTGCTGAACATATCAGGGGTTTCTTTAGCAGACCCACGAAACGGCGTAGCGTGTTCGCCTTCATTCCTTATTTTCTTGATTGTACCGGGACTTGAACTCGTCGCCCATGGCAACTCATCCAAAGAGAGTAGGCGCATTGGATTACGCTCCGTATAATTTCGAAAAATTCTCTTGGGGCACCTGTCATAGAATTTAATGCTGTATTCGTTACTAAATGAGAAGAACGTAATTGTTCTAGCTTTGAAGATTTAGCAAGATGTTAACTTGTCAACAAAATTTTGTCGAACAAAGCTGTTTGTGGCATGAATAGAATAAGGCTATCTTCACGCCGTAGCGTACAAGGTGCAAGATAGTTGGATGGCCTTACTTAGTTTATGCGATCCGCAATGAAAAAAAAAAACATTCAATTTTTAGTATAGTTTTACGTCACGGACACAAAAGGTTGCATAGCCATAGTACTCTGTTTTGAGCGGTTCAAATAGTCTTTCTATAAGAGATAACTTTTCAGTCGTTATAAAATTGAGCAACTTGTCGATAAATATGGTATTAATTGGGCGCTGACATTTTCAAAAGAGTTCTTTAAGTGGAATTCGCTTGTTCAGTGCCGGAAGAGAAATCTATATGGAACCAGGCTGTCTGTATCGTCTTTACGTACGCTTTATTCTCAATCTAGTGTCAAAAATGATTTTGGGCGAAAAACGCGCAGAAATACCTACTATAGTAAACAGTGTGCAGCGCTCGTAGAATTTTAACCATAGTCTGTCATTTGCAGAAATGTTTGTTTTAATAATATTTCTTTGTTTTGATATAGAAGTTACGTATTAAAATAAACAAGAACGGAAAAATTACATATAAAATTGGTTGTTTGAAAACGCGTAAAAAAACGTGTTGTCAAAACTTTGGAGTTGGACTCTTCCTTATGAGTTTCTTCTTGAGAACGTTATATTTATTTGAAGAGCAATAGTGTTTGATATTATTTTTAACATCAACACATCTTTGCAACTATATACTAACAAAATGAGCGCTAGTCATTTTATTGATTCTGGATCAAGCCAACTAATCATACTATAAAAGACTCAGTACCCTACGGTTTCGCCCACTACGCACTTCATAATAATAACGTGTGGCCTTTCGACTCTCACATTCGAACGCAGTCTACTGAAGAGCATCCAGGCGCATCTGAGACGAGCTTACAAGTGAAGAGGATTTCCGGCTCCAGAGACACATCCGCACGCAGATCGTAATCGTAGAGAAGGCGAGTCACCGAAGAGCTGTCAAGCTTAGTAGGCGTCACAAGAACGTGAATCAACCGGTTAGAAGAAAGCTTACAATATATGTTTAGTGTAATAAGTTATATAATATATATATCATTTTCTTATAAGCTAATACAACTTTAAGGTAACTAAACGTTGGCTAAGTTGTAGTCGAAACATGACTGACTCGGTTATATTAGCTTTTAGTGGGTAGTATTTTTATTGATAAACATCTTGAAAGTTCGGTAGAGATTAAGATATCTTAGACGAAGACGCTGGGGCCAGGCGGGCGGCTCTGTATTCGTGTCCTATACTAAGAACGTCTAAGAACGGTTTAATTGCTCTTCAGCGTACGTCAGCCTAAAATCCGTTTAATTATCAAGACCAAATCGCGCACAGATCGGCTTCATTCGCCTGGATCTACCGTACATTACGCTCTACATTCTGTGTGACAGGAATTGTGTACTGCTTGCTGAAAAACATCCTGTTAAGGACCCGTCAGCAGAGCTGCTCAAAAAATAGTACAGATAGATAAGGTAGTGCACGATCTGCGAAATGTGGCAACTTCAAGAGTTTTGTTTGGTCCAAACCGCTACGAAGCAGTTTCAAAAGTGGCTTAATAAATTCGCGTATCGATCATTCGTACTCTTGGCTCATTGTTAGACAAGCTGAGATGAGGCAAAATGAGCCGTTAGAAATGAACCGGCAAAGCAATTCAAGTTAAAACAAATCACAGAAGAGCAACTAGTGTCTTCAACGAGCACCTTAAAAAAATCGCTTCGTGTTAGTCAACTTTGGTCAACCCTCATCATCGCACTGTCCTCCCGAAGAACCAAGAAAGGGACGAAGATATCTTAGTGCCAACTGTTGAAGCAAACAGTTTGCTACGAACTCTTCTTAACGTCCAAACGTTTTTTAATCCTGAATTACTTTAATCCCGAACGAGAGTTTCGTTTAGGCCGACTGGCGTTAGATGTCTCCTAGGCCTACAAAAATGTTCGTGAGTTTTCGCCATACTATGATATAAAATGATTGCCTAACTGTCCGCAATTCTTGACATTGCACACAAAATCAATCTCTACTGCAGACAACGATGTTTCTCTCTAGATTCAAGCAGTTCCACCGTACCCACTGTTAATATTATTTACTGAGCACAGGTAGGCGTAAGACTATTATGATGAAGTCACAATATTCTATTAGAGGGATCCTTTACTATTTATATCATAAAAATTATGAAAATAACAGTTATCTACGTATGTAGTTCTTTTACACCGCATAGCATTTCCTCCCGAGGTCTTTTTTTTTTTAAATTAAAACCTTTACTAGGACCGATACGAGTATACGCGCTTTTGGTGGATTTCATCGTCTACAGAACGGGATCGAAATGAAAATATTTAAAGAAATACAAAGTACGAGAGACTTTCGGATGAATTGGAACAGTCTAACATTGACAAAAACACATCTGATAAAGTTCTTTATTTATTAAAAGTTATTTGTATGACTATGTATTTTAAGGCAAGTGAAATAAACTATGTGCCAAGCTCTCTACTTACAGAAAATAAATGTGTAAACTTACGGTCACCAAACACGCTCACAGCGGGAATGTTATCTGTATAAATTGTAATTTTTTCTATCCAGGAAAGTTATTTGTTTAAACAATATTATTACTTGTAAGGTTACCTATCCCTTGCTTACCGTCCATTAATCCTGATACCTCAAATATACAGATTCGAACTGTTCTCATAACTGATAATTTCTCAGAACTCGCCATAAAATAGTTGAGACATATTAAATGCCGGGAGCGATGGAGTAATTATATGGCATAAAAGACCTTGAGTCTTATTATGAGATTATAAGCGTTATAATCAAACAAAATCTTATCAGTTACAGGTTACGCCATTTTACTGGATGTGCACTCGAGGACCCTCATGCAACATGTTTTCGCCAATAGCGATATAGAGAAAAAAATATGAACCAATTAAACCATGTAGTAGCGTAATCCTTGATCTATATCAGGATCAGGTAGCATAAATCTGTAAATTAGCTTGTGTTTGAACACTTACATCGCAATCAGGCTCATGGTTCTTACACAAAACACTGCGATTCACCCTGAAATAGAAACACACAACTAAAAGTAGTGAAAATTACTTGTATTCAGACATAGTTCAAGTCATGTTAGCTTATCCTAGCAAACATAAAAAAAACTCACAAAGCTGACAGCACTCATCAAAAGGCCAGCGAAATTATCAACGCCAAATTGCGTCTATTTAGAGTATGCTATGAGACCAACCCACTTATCTAGGGACATGTTGTACAAGGCGCATTTTTTCGGTAAGGGTTCTAGCCATGAACCAATAGATTCAGTGCCTACTTTCGATTGCTAACTTAATTTTTTCTGTCAAATTAATATAACACCCGAAAGTTAATTCAAAAATAAGGCCTACGACTGTGCTTCTTAAAAAGGACCTCTCAACTACCATGTGAAGTAGAACTGCCTCATGCTCACAATGGAGAGCTTTGGACCATTTGTTAACACTCTACCATTGTTCGGTGCAGATCGTCACGGCAGGGAATTCGATGTTAGAACGCATCTCTTCGAAAACCGTCACGGTGAACTCGTATTTCTCATAGAGTTCGACTACACGACTCGCCTGAAACAAAAAGCCAGTAACACACACTAGCCATATGGTTCCCTTAACGCAAAGGTTCACGCGGCGACGGGTGACGATGGCCATTGGTAACCGAGCCTGCTCTCCACTAATCTTCTCATTCTTCTTATACTGCAAACGAGCAACCGGCATAATATCATTTGGTCACCAATAATTAACAGTGTGTAAAATGTCATCGACAAAGTATTCAGGAAGCAATGTAATGGAGTGTGACCTCAAATGTTGGCCACAGCCAGATAAGAGAGCAAATGCAGAAGTTAAGGAATCCAGTGATGCCTTAAAACACTTGAAGCCTTTAAAAAAAACTTTTTTCTTGTATTCTGTAAATACATATCAAAATAATAATAACGTATACTTTAAAACTAACCTTATGTCCTAGAGCACGTCGGAATCTCGGCATGTTACAATTCAACGATTGCCATATACAAAGCTTTTCTTTTTAAAAATGAACTCCCTGAGGCGAACAAAGAATCGAATTAACCCAATGCCTTGCGAAGCGTGGATTGAGAAAACGCTCAGTAGATTAGCGATGAGTATTAAAGGACGTGAGCTTTTCGGGTCATGTATCCGTAAGGTCAGAGCACGTACTCCATATACCGCATGCATACATATCCTACGTAACGCTAATGTTTGTCCTTTTGTAACGTATCGCCTCATACAGTTACGTCGTGCGCCACAGTTGTTTCCCGTCATTAAAGTGTTTGTCAGTAGCGCGCCCGTAGTTGCTCATTAAAACTGGTTTGTTTTCAGTAAAAAAATCCAGGGAGATAGGGTGAGACGCAACGCGTCTACCAGTTCCTCGGACTTGAGTTTAAACTAATTAAAAGCAGCTCAATGGGTTTTCAGATAGATTCAGCGGAATTTGGTAGGGCAAACGGAACTCAATTTCCATCTTATGTAGCTTCCCAAAGTCTCTTTTTCTTCTCGAAGGTTTTTTATTTGTTTATTGTTGTTATTATCCGTACTTGATAATGACGAATAGATAGTTTGTTGTAATTCTACTTATATCAATAAGTGAGTAGGGAAAAGAAAAAAAAGAATTGGCTGAGGAAGTACAGAACAATATGTGCAGATATCTTGTAAATGCGCAATGGGGATGAATCGTCGTACTTTTGCTTGATTAAGCTTAAGTTTACGTGGCTATTTTTGAAGACCAGCTCCACTCATGGAAATGAGGCGTAGTATGTACAGATACCCTAAATAGTGAAGACAATATATAAATAAATTACGACTACGGTATGTAGTGATATTAAGGCGGATTAAACGCCATTGCATTGATGAGCTAATACTAAAAAATCTGAGGATAAAATCCCAAGCCTTGTATCTCCTATCTGCTCTACCGTTGCGGCTCTCTAGACGCTAGTATGAGGCTATATAATGGTCTAGTCGTGGGCTACTCCCACCATCGTTGCCATCGATCACAGATCTTCAGTTGGAACTATTATAGCGCTATCTGCATACGTATACATCCCATAAGAACATGGCTCCCCACATGGACATTATGAGCAAACAAATTTGGTTATATGAATCCTTAGATGCGTCCAAATAGATAAACTACGTATCTTTAGTTTTGTTAGGAAAATTCCTTTTCACTTAAATATGTCTAGAATAGGTTTGTAAAAACGGTTTCTCGGCGATGCAATAATTACCGACTATCTATGTAGCACTAACGTACGAATTTTAGGTACGTTCATTTAAAAATGTTCCCAACTGTTGCATTGTTAGGCAAAATATTTTAACAAGTGGCTTTTTAGCCTGGTTCTCTGAGTTCTTCAGACGCCTTTATACTTTGTGTAGCTAATCTTTTTCATAGTACAATATTGTTATTGCATGCTGAATGTAATTACTGTCTTTTGAAATGCTGGTTGAATATAACATAAGAATAACTTACTCATTGCTTTCCAACTGACGTTGCTGAGAACACACGAAACGAGGACAAAGCGGGTACTAGCCTAATTTGGGACAACCTGTAAGGAAACAAAGAGGAACCTAATCGTAGTAGTGCCGCTTAGTTTGGTGAGATGCGTTTAAACGCGTTCACTTGTTCCATTTAGCCTTATCGAGAGCTAACAATAGCATAAACGCGTCATCCCCAATAATCGATCATTTTACAAACATTGTGCTTCTAGGTATTCAACAGAATTGAATTCACCACCAAGCACCAATTTTTAAAGCATCGCTACGCTGACCTCTACAAGGTCAATATGACCTTAGCGTAATAAAACCTTTTTTGCAAAGATATTACCTGAGCTAATCGATTGTGATCTGCATTATTAACAGCACAGCTTTTGATTTTCCTTTTCTATAGGATTCTCAAATAGATTTCAGCAGTCAAAAACTATCATCTTGCGGCACTCTGAGCCTAAGCTTAAAGGCAAATCTCACGTTAACCGGAGTCTATACTTGAAGGAAACACTGGGATAATTAGTCTTGGTTTGTCATGAGCTCATTTTCTAACGCCATGTGTTCATTTTCTTAATGAGAGACCAGATAAAAATTTGATTATTCTATGTTCAAACTGCAAAATAAACTCTCATATCTGTTGTGTTCGTAACATTTTAAATGTAAAATCGACGCTCATTACACCAGGGCCTGTTAATGTTTTGTACTTGATTGGCACAGCAGAAATTTGACCTTAGGAAGGCTTGTTTTGGAACGACAAATAGCTCTCTTCGAGGACAACAAAAATGTGATGCTAATCGTCAGAGAGAAATAGAGTCGGCCTAACCACAGGCAAAACGCGAGCAAACCAGTGGCAATTAATTAAAACGAGGTAATCCATACCAGTTTTTGTGGTACTTCACTAACCACTCGTCACGATGAGAGGAATATTTCATTGTCTTCACGGGAAGACCTGCCGCGCATAATAACCTCTCATTAAGCCAACAGCACACAAAGGATAATAGAGCCTTCGGAACGAATTTGAAACATCAAGCAAAGTACTCCTTGTCGGGATGCAAAGCTGGAGACCAGTTTTTAAAATAAAACACAACCGCCCATGGCCCAGGCTATGCAACTATTTTCCATCTTACCAATTATTTCTATTTTATCATAGTCAATGTGTGGCGAAGCTTTCGACAAATTCTATATCTTATCTTGCATATACTTAATATGTCGCTTAAGTATAGCTTTACCTAAGGACCACTCACTCATAAGATTTGCTTCAGTATAATTCCAAATTTTATCAGGAGGAATATTCTAAAATTCTCTCTCTAAATAAAAATAACCTTGAGCTATTGCTAAAAATCAAGCAAGAAAAAAATTATAGTCTCTTTAGAAATCACGAGTCTTGGATGCCCATGTTCTGGCTTAATACAGTCGAGTGTCGTTTCGTAAAAGCCTAGTTACGGCCTAATATATTGTCCTTGAATCTGATATGATTTCGGCCTTGCATTGGGCTTAGAGTTTGACCTGACGGTATACGAAATCTATCGAAGACATGAAGACGGAACCCGAATATAAAAAGAACAATGATAGGTGACGCAAGCTGCTCTTTTTTGGTTCCAGTAAGCACCGCCTATCCCTGCGTCACCGCTTGTACGGCCTCTACAAGAGCTTCTGTAATACAACGCGTATGACTGTAATTAGGGGGCATTATGATGTACCAATTAAAAACATTAGATGAACCCGCCAATACTTACAGCAGATTTGAACTATTTCAGCTCCGATGCAACGCTATCTTTTAAAAACATACTAGGCTTTGGTGATCCCACTGGTTGACGTCTGGCGACTTTTCAAATGAAAACCTCCAAATAAAAATTCGGGTAAACGTCCGCAGTTGTCAACTGGTCTGCCCAACAAGCCTGTCTGCCACAAACGACTGTAGAATCGCTGACGTGTCCTGTCGCCAAGATAGGATTGTCCTAGATTTTATGGGGCCGTTGTGCACGCCCAAAAGGCACCTTTATTAGTATTGGTGTCTATAGATCTCTGCATTCGTTCGGTTAATCTTTTTTCGACTTGACACACCACAGCCCGAGCCGTCGTAGAGGTCCTATCCGCCCGTCTGGACACGTACGGGGCCATGGACGCTGCTGTCAGGCGTAACAAAAGCCATTTTCGAAGCCGGTGCGGGCGCCACTATACGTCCTGGAGCCTCTGTCGACGCCTATATTAGAAACGCCGAGTTTCACCATTTTCGTGATACATTTGGCGGCTGTCATCAAGACGAATACTACAGTCAGGGAGAGTTTAGATGCAACCCTATTTGAGTTACTTCACAAATTCATAAGTGTATCGTCAGAGAGGTCGCTCAGTACCAAACCTGAGGAACAAAAGCCCATGCTTGGCTTCATTAGTCAAAATCGGTCCCCGAAATAGCAACCTTTCAAGCCCGGTGCACGAGCCTTCCTGGTGCACGAGGTGCACGTCCTGCGCCCCACGCCGATAGCACTACCCGTTCTGGAAGCTGCTGTGCAAGTTGGCGTCCGGAAAAGGCGCCGAGACGCAAATCACGCTTACACGCTTCCGCCTGTCACTCACACCAGCGGCGTGTCATCATCATCCTAAGAAATATCAGAAAAAAATCGTGCGCAGGATGAAAACATCCCACCTGACAGCGTGGTCGAATAAAACGGACGCATAAAACGTACAGGTTGTTCGAATGAACGAGTTTTGGCCAGGATGTGCTACTCAAGGCTTCTGCACCGTTTATCGTTTGAACGCCTAGTGCATCATATTTTAATATTACATGCTTGCTATATATACAATGGTCCGTTGCGTTCTTTAGGACAATTTTTGGATCGTTGCGCAGGGTTTTGCAAAGATCTTAAAGCTAGCTTCACTAATATTGGACGCCGTCTTCAACTCGGTTCGAACAGTACGAGGCAAATCAAGTAAACGTTATTTCATCCTACATGGAACGTAGTATATGTCAGGCGCAAAATGGCTGTCACAGTTTGGGCACATTCGCGTTACTTGCTGCTGAGATATTTTTACCTCGTTTTTCATAATCCATGATGGTCAGGCGCACCTCTTCCTGAGATCTATACAACTACACAAATAATACGGAGTATCTTCCTATCGTATCTAAAAAAGCCAGGCCTTGGTTAATTAGTATATAGTAGCGATCACAAACATGGATCATTTGTTTCTGAACTATAGAGCACTATGGATGCACATGAAGCTATATATCAATCTACAAGAGCACACAAATATCGAATAGTTTCATTCTCCTCTCGATATAAAGTTGCACTTACTTTTAAACACTAAAATTTTTGTTCTTTCATGCTACAGCCGTCATTAGCCAAGCATACGATATCAAGATACTGCATGTCGAAACCGGTGTGCATGTCCTCAGTAGCTAATGTTGAAAGCAATGGTGAGAGAGCTCCCGATATCCGAGCATTATTCACAAACTTGGGTGGTTTCTCAGTATAAATTAAACTGAATATTAAATCACTCGTTACCTTTGCTTCAGATAACGGAATCGAACTACTGAGGACTTCATGTATGCCTGCTCACTTTCGAAGATGTTAATTAGAAGGATGGTTCACGTCACCGGAGTAAATATGTCCGCAATTAGTTGTCATCGTAGAGTGTGGTATGATCAGGAAAAAATTTGTCAGATCATTGTCACAGTTCGTTCTTTAGACTCATATGAAATTTCTGTATGTGTCGAAATATATACACGATACAATAAGCGTGGTCCGTTCAGCGCCGTTTGACCATTGTCATTAAGCCACAATGATAGGATATGAAAATCGATTTCAATATGCGCGCGAATATTTGATTATAGAAGCGTTCGATACCAACTTACATAAACATATCAGCCTACTCATTGGTCTATTTCCCCTAGGCAATATTGAGAGACAAGTTCAGTTCCGAGTGGGATGATAGCTTTTGTTTACTATACAGTGTTGTTTATACAATTATGTTTATTTAACATAATTGGACCAAATAGCGCTTTTCAATATATTAATCATTTCATGATGCTGCTTTCATAGTGGAACTAATTACGACATTCAAATTGGCTCACCGTACGATCCACTAGCTTCTACAATTTCCCTAGGATTTCTAATCATCTTATTTGCTATTTCGTGTAAAATCTCTGGGTAATCCAGATTGGATCACCTTTGACAAGTAAGCTCAATGAAAACCTTCTATTGCGTCGACAATTGTATGCATATATTCAAGTACGAAGGAAGCTAGCTTTTAGAGCTTGTACAGTCAACATAATATCAATCGCATTATCACTCAACATTATCACTGTGTGGTATATTAGTCTTTAGGACGTTATCATTAATTAGACCTATCTGAATTTCCGAAAGTGCACCTAATAGGTTTATATTGTCACGAAATATAGCACCTTACAAAAGTACAACTCGAGAATACCAACGTATTTTCTCCGGACTAGAGCGCGCAGTGTTGTCCAAAACGGTTCTTAATAAAAGTTATATTCAATTGTTGAAACTTCTTTTGAAATTCGCTCCTTTTTTTATGGCAACAATTCGAAGCAGGCAAAATTGGCGCAACGGCTGACACAGATAACCTTCAAATCGCTAGTGTAGCATCACATAGAGCTACTAAACATACAATGCAACCAAGATCTTGGCTTACCTAACGGTTTACGTGAACAATTAAAAAAATGCAAACAGAGGTCACCCTATAATTTTAGGGTAAGAAAGGTCGAAGCTGTTTTTGTGGTCCAAGGAAAACTTGATTCATTATGAGGCGTATAAGGTCTATATTCTACGAAAGGCAAATATAGAGCTTAATAATACACTATTTCAGGATCAAAGCGTATGGAACCAGTAAAAGACTTTGTGTCTTGTTAAGTTTATGAAGCTAATTTCGAAGACTTGCCAGATGGCACCTGGGGGCAACGAAGGGCATGATATTTGCCACGATTCCCTTGGCATTTGGAGCACATTAATGTATCGTCAGGCTCATTAACTCAGTCGGTTCCCTGCAGAATCTATGGTAGAAGCTATGCATGGTAAAACAAGTGACGATGTGTCTCATTAGCCAGTTCATCCCTTTCCATTCCACCCGAAGCGAAAAATATCCCATCGAAATTTTAATCATGTACGGACTCTGTGAACGTACACAGAACTCTGGATGTCGATAGTTTAATGGAAAACTACCGTAAAACTTATTTTTACGTTCGAAATTGCGATGAGAATAATGTAAAGGACCACTCTAAGAGCGCTCGAAAGAACTCGAGAAATTGTTGGAAGTTGAAACCTATCTATATCAAGACTCCCCTCGTATAGCATCTTTGGATAACAGATTACAATGGAACATTTTCGAGACAACTGATTCCTAGGACTAAGTCAAACAATTTATTAGATGATAAAAACATCTGGGATTAGATTGACCAGGTATAAGGGGACTAAAAAACTCACGCAACTATTCCAATATAAGCGAATGCAGATTTAATTGTTAGTAAACGCTTGACGACGACTGAAAGATTCAATGTAGTTGTTGAACGGCAACTGTTGGCGATTGTTAAACACCGACCGCTAAATAACATGATGAAGGACGAACGCGAATAGAGGCCTAAAGACGGAAAGGCCATGTATATATATATATAACGATAGGCTCCCTTCACTAAACGCGTACAGCAATGCTTCTTTGTATCAAATATTTTGAACCTAGCATTAAAGTCCATTTATCCTGTATCAGTGTGAATGTGACACAGAGCTAAAAAGAATATGGCATGTTCTATATGTATCCCTGGACCGAGGCAAGCAAGCAAGCAGCATTACGGTAGATACAATTATTAGACGAAATATGGCAAACAGCTATTTAACAATCAGAAATTAAAAGAATATTAACAGGCTCATAGTTGGACAATCGAATTACCCGCGGAGCTAATCTGTACTACAGAGGCATACGGTACAACCGCCACAAGCTACATCGGCATAATAAAAATATATATTTTTAGCGCCAACATTTGATTTTAAAAAAATGTCGTGAAAAACACTAGAGGCAAAAAGAATTGCCCCAACAAATGTTTTGGAAACTATGGAAACAGTGACTGTGAGTTAAAGAACAACTAACGCTTGTATACGTGATATAGTTTCTAACATTTTCTATCATAAATATATCAAAAACGTTTAGGCATACTAAATATCCAGCAACGTGTATACGTTGCCGTTGCCGTTGCCGTCGCCGTCATCGCCCGTTAGTTCAAAGATCGAACATATTCAGATTATATTTATTTCATATTAGATATTTAGAGTTAGTCTCATTCATTTAGTAGTGGTACAACATACCGCTCCACAATTTACTGCGTCTGAAACCTTAACACGAGCTTTCTCCCGGGCCGTTGGTCCCAGCAAAAACGTCTTCTTTCGATCGAAGAGGCACGATATCGACGAAGCTTTGAGTTCGCTTGTTACTGCAGCTCCCAAACAGTAAAGACTCAGATCTCAGGCAGTTATACGACAGTCATGCTACGTTTGTGCAAAGATTGACATCCCTGGGAATGGTCGGTGGGGCTGACAGGGAACACCACAACGTAGTCCGGCCACAGAACGACCCCGTGTTCTCCGTAACAATAGTCCTTTAGAAATAGTACTGATGTTGCATACTAGTCAGAACCTTCTCAATAACTTAATCGGAACAAGCAAAACAATTCTGCAATGATTTAAAGCTTACTAACTCCTTAACTAAACAAATATGCTATAGTATAATGTAGCTAAAACAATGATGACAAACTATAATTCGTCTAAACTAACTTTGAGGATATATAGACTGACTGTTGAACAACATTAAGCATGTCAGTATTGCTATCTGTTTCACAACGCGGAGCTTTTACTGTGACAGGTTATTAAAAAAGGAAACTGCTAGACGGCATCAAGCGTATGGAAACCCTCGCATCGTCGACCTCTGCAATTGTTTATGTTGGCCAGAAATCTAACGCACAACGTTTCGGTTGTATCTTCTGCTATTCTTCCAAACAGAATTCGACATCACCTCTAGATAGGTTGAAGTTTAAGTTTATTTACCATTTAGTGTTAGAAAGAATCGAGCAGCCAAGGAATGCGTTGTCGTGTTGAATAGGGCAGAATTGGTGAGTTTTAAGATCGAGTTAGAAGGAGTGGGACCAGGTCTGGATAGTCGAGAGGCCATCGCATAAATGAAAGAACCGCGATCGTTATAACAGGTCAAGTCCGTGTTAGACACACCAGGTTTTTATATCCGATGCATCGAAAGTCCTATACGACTTTTTCTAAAAGGTAAAGCGAGGTTCACCTGAACTATCGAACAACAGGAAGACGGATAATCGATTCAGCATGAATGTTTATCTATGAACCCACATTACCGACTTTAGTGAGGCTAAGAGCGGCGTTGCCGTAGTAGTTCAAAAGCGGCGAGAGGCCAATGCACCACCTACTCTCAACGACAGAAAAAAAAAGCACTAGAGTAATGTATCTGTATATGTGAGAAATGACACTTATAGTTTTTAGGGGAAAAGGCCCACTTTGGAAAAAGCCATTAAGCTTCAATAATATTAAGAGCGAGGGATACTGGAAGCGCAGGGATGCGAATAGCTATACAGGGCAAGATGCTAAGAAATTATAGTTTCAAAATATAGTACAAAGCCAAATAATGGCGCAATGGATATGTCGAGGTTTCCATTCAGAAAACTGATCGAACTCAAAAAACTCCGATAAAAGATAAGAGCTAATACTAGAGAAATGCTTAAGCCGGTTTTGTGCGAAGAGAGAAAAAGAAAGCTGAAAACTGGACATCGAACTGACTGTGCTTTATAACGACCGAATTCATCAAAACTTCCGTGATCCTCTCTGTTTTAGGGATTAGGGATGATTGATGGCGCGTTGTAATAAAAAAGGATAAGACCCGAGATAATAATATGGCGAGTTTTTAGGATCGCAAACAACAATCTTCACTCCGACATAACAAACACCAAACAACGTCTGAGACAACTTTACTGGCGGCCGTACTTTGACAAGTTCATCGACGAGGCAGTACGAAGTTCCGTGCATCCATTGTTAAATAACGCAACTGTGCAAATGATGGCACTCGCTGACGGGCCGGTCAGGTCCCCGTGATAGCATAGTGGGTAACGTATTTAACTGCAAAAGCAACGCGTTATGGAAATTCGGGCAGAAACACACTGTATTTCGCGCTAGCAGCCAGTCGTCTCATGGAATTTCTAGCGGCGATGTCGGACGTAAAACTCGAAATATAAAGAGACTGATTCGTCAAAGGCGTCCTGGAATATTTTGGCTATTGACGTTCATACACCAAACGAATTCGCACCCGACTCGCAATCCTTCGCGATTGTGTTAATCCGCTACTCCTTCAGGTAAGCAGAGGTCAAGCTGGTCTAAGAAGCATTGGCCACTCAAGTACTAAATATAGTACATAACCTGTCCTACTAACGGAGCGTAGTGGACAAAATCACCACCCACAATGGAACGTTATCTACTAGTCGAGAAGTCCCCAATTTATCACCTACAAGGTAACGGGCTTGTGGAACTCTTTAACAAAAATTTTGAAGGACCTATAGTTAGCACACAACAACTAGGCGGCTACCTCGCGAAACGTATTGTGAAAATAGTAAGATTGCATAACGCGGCACCACAGGTGACAATGGGCGTATCTCCAGCAGAACTTTATGGCATACTAAATTAACTGGCAGGTAATTGGCAACGAGCACAGAAACCAGCAAATTTCGCAAAGAATAGAGCACCGACGGATGCATTAGAAAAAGGGGGCGGATAGTCGTTAACGATCAAACACAGCTGCATCGTAAATGCGGATAAAAAAACCGCAACACGAAAAACGTATTGAGACGTAGAGAGATAAGAGGAGATATACCCACATGCTGAAGATATAAGAAGAAAATAGCAGAGGGTTCATCTTACGACAAAAAGGCCGAACGAGGCCTAGGGGCAGCGGTATCGCAGAAGAAAATATCGTATAAGGAACAACACAACAAAAGGAAAAATTGAACAACGAATTAGCGAAAAGGAGAAAATAGAAAAAAGTTTTGGATTAGCAAGGGATGGCTAGGAGGAAGGGAATACCACGGCCGGAGAAGAGGGACAAGGTATAGCTATAGAAGCAACGAATGAGACAGACTATAAAGGCTCAAGAAGATCAAACCGAGCGAAGACACCGGTGACGTTTTAATGGTCCTGGTCTCATTTGTATGATAGATAGGATAATGTGTAAAGCGACTAACACATAAATAAAACATGACGCCGCTGTAGTCAGCAGAAAAGGCAAATATTGCCACTGAGTGGCGCCAACTGGTAAAGAGTGGCGCTACACTCGATAAGTGTAGAAATGACTATAAATAAATAGGCAGCCTCTTCAACGCCAGAGTGTTCACAAGTTATCTTTCTAGTAATCAGTTTAAACAATAAACAGGTACAGTCGAAGTTGATATTACAATAGTATAAAAATTATAGCTAGACATTGGGGTCGATACTTGGGCGTTTCCCTTATTATAACTATTAACAGCCTATGTCTGTTTATTTATTAGATCCAAAACGACCCCCAAAGCAATTATTGGGCGCATGCTTTTTAGTTTCTGGGAAGATTTGCGCGAGAGTCGATGAGCGAAATATCTTCCCCTCTAGAGAGAAGTTTTCTTTTTTACAGAACGTAATGCTAACTTGTTTAGTATCAAATCGACGGCAGCACCTTTGTTTATTTTCTACATCTGAAGACAACGCCGCATCACCATTGTCAAAGCGGCCGCCGGCATTGTTCGTGTCAATATGTCATCAAATGTGCAAATCTGTCTGCGGAATTAGTATTGTTTGAACACCAGGACTTAACATGTGTTTAATAGCAAAACAAGCACGGGGCATGACACACGGGTTGCGCTCCTACATACAGTAAAATGAACAGTATGGGTATGATCTATTATCTACAGGTTGCTACATGCGCTAAGCCTCACGGCACTTATGTGATATCTTGTACGTTAACAATAAGATACTACGCATATCGGATAATAAGGTGTAGTTTTAACAACCAGTCGATACGGTGACGCTATATATGTGGTCCTTGTGGATGCTCTAATTTAACCCACGCGTCACCAATAAAAGTCGTTCCGAGTTATTGTTGTCGATGTTACCAGCGGCGACGCCAGCGATGTTATTTGATCTTAAAGGAAAGCCTCGAGCTATGACACAACAGCCACAGAAACTTCCTTTCTCCGTCGTCTTCCCGGAGTGAAGGTACCAAATGTACGAAAGTTCCAAATTACTTACATAATAACTGCACTATTTTCTTAATTATATTTAGTGTTAATTATATAAGGTTGGAAAGAAAATGTTCGCGCTTTCCGCGCACGAACGACGTAACAAAATATTTGAGCTCTGACTAAGACGTTCGCGGAATAAATTGGTAAAACTCAGGTTTGCGGTATCTGTTTCTCGTTCGAGGGGCACATTTAGCATGGAGATAACTATCCCGTTTTCAGTACAACATTGCCACGCACAATTTATAGCCTATCAAAAATTGGAGTGGGTGTATATTTTTGTATCGCCCACATTCAAAGCTTTCTCATGTTTCTTCATCGAAATCCTTAAAATGAATTGAATCGTTTATATCATTAATGCCAATAACTCTACTCGAAGGGTATTGCTGATAGCTTCTAGTTCCCTTTGCCACCATACACATGATTCTGTTTGCTTGAGCAACCCTCTAACAAACGAAACTGTACATATATGTGTGTAGTCCATCTGTATGTATTCAATAAGTAGCTCGAGAGTCTCTGTTACTACGCTAAGGAACTACCCTGCCAAGGGCGAAGCTAGGTACATTCTGTAGGTATATTCTGTATATCTCTGTATAATCGGTTTGACTGGCATGGAAAGAATAAGGCACGTTGAAAGACACACGGCCGTTTGTTTGCCATGGGAAAATTATACTATATTTTCTCTTTGTTTGCTTTTATGCATGCATACAGATTGATTCAAAGAGTATTAAAATTAAGTATGATGGTCTATGAAATGGTGTTAGTTCCAAATGTTTATTAAGCTTTTTAGTTAGAATCATGTTTCAGTACGATTTATACATATTTTCGTGTGCCTCGTTAATTATACGGCAGGTTAGTATAGTTTGTATTTAGCTTAATTGTTGCTAACGTCGCCATAGAATTCTCCTTAAAGAACTTATACCTAAGATCTACATGGCCAACTATTACAATATTGTGCGTAATAGGCTGGTGATCAGGCGTCACAGGAGCGTTAGTTCATACTAGCCTATCATATGTATTTGAGTCAATAATAGGTCTAGCTTTAACGAATTTCTTTCAGAAGGACGTAAGCTTTTGGACAAATAATCTAATTATAAGAACATGAACAATATTTTAAAAGTATAGATATATTAATAAAACATGTACGGTGTCTCAGATAAACAGAACCCTTTTCTGCGAGTTCCTTTTTCTATTTTTACTGGTAATTAAGAAGAATATGAACATCCGTATGTTAGTCATTTGATGGCGATATTTTTATCTTGTCTTCATCAGATAATTACACTTTTATTAAAAGGGAGAAGATTTTAGGGCCTAAGTGAGGCCCACGAAACTCTTTTATAGAATAAAAAAATAACAGAAATAAAAGTGCCCTTGCAACAAAAAGGTCTTTCCAAACATTCAGCTGCCATGCGCATGATAAGCTTAGCAATTCAGACAGATTAGTTTCACTATGTGGTCTGCAATAAAATTTTATATGTATCTCTTTATTCTATTCGCCTAGATCATGTATGCATATCTTACTATCAAATAGTTCCCCATATTATATGTGATAGGATTGAGACCACGGAAATGTCTAGGCACTATCCAGTTTACATTCAGCAGCTTTTTTACAAAAGGAAAATTTTTAGTATTTAGAATAGATACCGAGGTCTTATTCAAGCATTGGTTAGTAAATTCTTGAATTCTATGGTTGCTGAAGCAGGGCCTTAAAAAGCTCTGTAGGCTTTTCATCAACCTTTTCTTGTTTCGTGTGAGAAGAACTTTTCTACCAAAACATAGCCATTACCATCAAACACATGAAGATGTGGCTTATAAAATGTCGAGGCTGGAGATAGGCTAGCTATCGCAAATAGTTTTCCTCAAAAGGCTAAGATGGATTAATCAAATGTCTCTTGTCTGCGTGTTAGTACCGGCTCCGTAAATTCCAACGTACTAAGCTAAGTCTTAGTAACATAACGAAGCCCATTTGTCGTAAAGTGGTAACACTGTTGTTGGCGTGTTTTTCGACCCTTCCAAGAGCACAAAGCGATAACTAAAGTCTTTATATGATCGTTTGGGAAACTACCGGCTGGCAGTATGACTGAGTGGACTTCCAGCTTTACACGTACTAGAAATCTAAAGTTTACATAACAGGATGCGATGTTTAGACGTCTCTAAAAGTAAGTAAGTTTAAAAACAACGTTGAAAATTAGTATCGAAAACTATAATCTTTTAGCTGAGCTTGTAAATCAAAGATACTTACATGAAGCAGATGCTGTTGTATTTTACAGCAGATAAAATATATGCTCCAAATAAATAAATATTAGACCTTTCCAAAATCTTCGACCAACCAACACAGGTAGAAGACCCACCGTAACCCGGAATAATAGCTAATAAATAGCATTGCTTTGAACAGCTGGCTGCCAGTGCAAAACGAAGTGTGTCTACGTGCAGCTTTGCGTAGGCACCTCATTCGATAAGTTTAACAGGCGAACACGTTATTGCACCATCACGGAGGCTTAATTTTTCAAAGCTGGCGTCACTTTTGGATCTACCCAGAGAACGAGGTCGTTGCAATGCAAACATATTATGAAGTCATCAAAATAGATGGCTTGCCGTGGAAAACAACAGTGTCATCATAGGAATTATACAAATCTACAAGCAAAATAATGAGCAAGACGAATCAAAATAATATCTAATAATAGCTAGTACGCCTCTGGAAATAAAGCTAAAATAAAATGGTATGTAGTTTAATAAATTTCGTACCAAATTGAACAGTCAGACCCTAACCATTATTTTTCACCAAAAATCGACCCGGGTTACTCAGCTAAACAGCTCAGTCTCAATCCAAATTTTTAAGTCACGAATGGCAGGTTCGATACGCGTAAAGCGACTTATAACACTGAGTAAAACCTTGCTTGAATTGACATACCTTCGATAACATCTATTCGCATAAACATAACAACATCTAACCACATACTGTCCTACTCTATTTATACTTAAAAAAAATGGTTGCAATGCAACTATTTTCTCTCCCACATTTTTTCCAACACAATTTCTAGTATTTTATTACACATTCAGCTAAGCAAAGCGTCCCTTAGCATCTCGTGCGATACTTACATATGAGCAACCTATCGTCAACTAGATTTTTCTGTGTTCTCATCTTATGCCTAGTTTTAGTCAAAATTCAAGCTCTAGAAATAAATGCTACTAAAAACAAAAAATGTGTTTGATATTTGCGTAAATTATCAGAGGCGCCATATCCAGTACGTTCAGGCGGATATAATTTCGGGAAGTCTCTCCCTGTATAGCTGCTCGCTAATTTGATCTTTTCATTTTCAGACGCTATGAAGTTCGCAGTCCGCAAACGGGTAGTCGCTCAAAACGCAAGATGTTGATGCCTATATAGTTAGATCTAGTAGGTCTTTTAGATAAAAAAAAATATAAATAGTTAATCAATACCTAACCTCGCACGTTTGTTTTCCTAGATCGCGAAAAAGGATTTCGTAGATTTTTTGAGAAAATATTTGACTGTATATAAAGTCACAGAGCCTTATGGAAGGTCACCGAAAGCTTGGTGGCTTCGGAACTTCTATGAAACCATTTTTGCGCTTAGTTCTTATGCATACATATAGAATATGTATTTACGGAACGAATTCAGAACGTATTTTCAATTTTTTTTTTCGCTTTTTTGTATTGCGAATATATATTTAACTGGTATAGTTTATCTTACGCAAAGAAGAGAACGGCTATTTTTGAAATTGCCAATCTTCAGCTTATCTTGTGTAAGATAACAAGGCTCCTCAAACATCCTGTAAATGAAGCGCTGATTGAGTTCAGCTGAAAACTTCTTTTTTGTGAAATTACGGTGCACCGAAACATCATTCGTAGTTCAATGCTGAGGCTGCTGTATAGAGGGTATTTACTAAAATATGTAATTTTGTGGGAAACACGAATTTCAGTTTAGCAGAAAGGAAACGTGGATGTAGGTGAAACGCTGTGTTTTTAACTTGTATTCACCCAAAGTGAGCTGATGAAAAATAGTTAGTAGTAAGGAGTTAACAATAATTTTTGGCTTAATCTTCAAGTCTCAGCGTAAGCATGTTTAGGAAATAAGTCAATGATTTCTATAAAATTTCCAAGTGCGCTAACTTCTCAAGAAGTAACAGCCCTCAGACGCTGCTTGCATAAGAGTGCGTATTGCTGACGTGTCACCTAAACAGGCACCTGTACTATGCAGTTTTTTTCACGCTCCAGTAGGGATTATCATAGTAACGCGCCCCAACCGGTATGTATTAGCCGCATCCATTTGGCACCAAGTGAAATAACAAGGAACGCGATTTTCACACGCTGTTCTTTAGAATGAGCTTTCCCACGCCTTGTTAAAGCGTTTGTATTTCAAGTACTATGATTTTTAATCGAAAACCCATAACTTAAAGCTCAGGTCCTGCTTCAGCCGCAAGCGTCCTCTATCTTCAATCCTTTCGCAAATTGTAGGACCTTAAGTTTCACTTTCTCCTCGGCAGTTTTACGTATCAAACACTCTCAATATACAGGTGCGCGATTGTCGACGAACTTCAAGAACGGGCTGATATTCGAGAAATAAAAATATCAAAAACTGCAGATTCTGGTAATTTTTCCTCCCTTGATGTCGATCAATTGTTAAATCATTGTCATCATTTAAAGCGAATTACAAATGCCCAATGTAATAACAGGCTTTAAAGTACCAGAATGCATTAAAGACTCTAAAATGTTATTGTATTGCTTGTTCATGCATGATTGAGTAATTCTTATCCTGCTTGACACGCGCATTGCGAAGTCTACACCATAGAAGAAATGGTCGACTATTTCCGTGCACCCATTCGGGCAATGCCAGAAAGTACGATTAGAGTTTATTCATTGTTTGCGAGATGCTCAATGGCGCTTGAATACATTCTTATCATTATCAGCAATTTTAAGCCATGAAACTAACTAAATAGACGTTTCAAAGCTACTATTTGAACGAAAGATTCATTCGAATAGTTGAAGAGGCCAGTAGCTTGACCGCACCACCGTTCGATCTTAAATTTTTTCTCACAATAAAATACAAAGACGCCTTTATTAAAAACGAGGTAATATGATGCAAGTGTCTGGGCTGTATATACTTAACAACACTTTTACATATTTATATAGCGTATATTTTTAACAGCTGAAAAACTTACATAGTTACGACATATACATGTATGGGTTATCAGGTATCACAGGGTGTTATGTGATATGCATGCACGTATCTCACACGTGCACCGACCCACTCACGCTACACAAGCGTATGTCTGATGGTACGCACTTTCGAAAGTACTATCGAAAATATCGAAGACTTGACTTCACTGTTATATGGAAAGTCCAAAAGGTTGCTTAGCCGTGTGTACAGGGAGATGCTGTGGTATCGTCTCAGATGAACTATAGTATTTCCAAGCACAATACTTAAGGCCATTACTTATAAGGTGTTATGAATATATGGTAATAATTGTTAAACTGTGCAGGTTAAACTGCTGTTCTGTTCTGCTATGATATGTTTATTCTATAATGATAACAACATCGATTTGCGTTTAAGACCTAGGACAAACGCCCATAGAAAGACAGACAGTTCACTACTTTTTATATTCGGATACTTTATTTTTAGATACTTCGGATATTTCGTTTTTAGAAAATGCAGAAATTGCTTCTAAAAATAAATAGCAAGCAGTTACTGAAAATTCGCTTTTGTAAACAGAGTATTTAGGTAAACTCGTCGAATTTCAATTGTTTCATTATAATTTAGTCTTCACAGGAAATAGAAGCGTGTCTGTTTTTTTGCCGTATTAATCGCTGACTGTTCTTCTACCTGTTGATGTGAATCGTCGCGTACATTAAAAAAGATCGGAACAATCTTTGTTGTTCTATAACCTTTGGTTTCCTATTTTTCACTACAGTCGGGTGCAACTCGTTCTTGCTTGCAATGACAACCAGAGTCATATTTTTCGACCGCAAAATTTAGCTTGAATCAGCAAATAAAAATCTACGCAAAGGTCACTACAGCTTCATATCGAAATGTCTCCGCAAAATCAGAATGTATTGACTTGTGGTAATTAGTAAGGTCTTCATGGAGTTTCATAATGATTTAAATGACTAGTGGCGAGTACCTATATTAGGTAATAATATTTCGTAAATATCTGACCCGTTTTCCGAATTAATATCCGTTCCTGGCTACCTTAAAAATGGATACCGGCCCTGGAAGAATCTCCTTTAATCGTGTTTATATAGTTGTAAATGGTAGCGTAAAGACTGCTCCTACCTTTAGTAGTCTCTGCATACAGTTGTGTTAATTCCATCTTTTTAAATGCACAATAGGTAAGTGAGAAGGTGAGCTACCTGCGAAACTAGCGTTTGCGATACATACTAGCACTCGTCGCAACCTACAAAGAGGAGAGTAACAAAACGGTATGCGCCGAGGTGAATACGTGCTAATGAAAAGACATTAGAAAAATTCACATTACCGTTAAACACTAGTTTCGAAAATATTTAAGTATTTTCAGTTTTTGAATTCAGCTATAGGGTCATGATTGTGTAAAGAAATCATTCGTTTTAAAGAGAGATATCCGAAAATGATTTTTACCAAAAAAAAAAATTTATAAACCAATGTCTCAATCACGTATCTGTTGACGTTTTCATTTACAATAGTTGGCTTAAATAATAATTTAAATTAGAAAGATAAACGTACTTGAATTAAATAAGCGTATAGTAATTTTCATATGTCTTCCTCTTATTCTAGGACGAGAACAGTGTAAGACACAAATGGTTTATGATATACGAAATCATCATATGTGCAACAAATGGCGTCGACGAAATGATTTTTCATGAAGCGAACGGGTGAAACGTAGTGCTTATCAGTCTCGGTGTATTTTAAGGCGTCATATGTTCTTTACTAGTACCTACGTTATATCAACTCTGGCCGAAAAATCGCTACAAGCATAATTTTCTAATCACCATGTTCTTCCATGTGGATTTTCCATCTAAAACAAATCTGAAGTATGAAACGGTGTGGTTTCTTATAAGTTTAAGAAGGACTCGTGGCAAATTAAATCGGTCACCCTAAGCTATGAACTGCTATCGGCGTAGTCGATGAAATTTTAAAATTCTGTTGTTAAATCTAGGGTAGTGCATGGCGTTGAAGAATCATGAACAAGTACTTGAGATTAATTATTTATACTACAAAAACTCTCATCTCGTTTTAGGTCATAGTAGATCAGTAGTAACTGAGTAAGTTAGGCAAACTTTTCAATTTCCCGCCAATTCGTCCATCCCAAAATGGCTTCTTGCGCATGTTCGATTTTTCTAATCTACAGTAACTGTCGTTCATGTTTGCAAAAGTTATTTTCTAGTAAAATTATATTAAATTATAAACAATGTATTAATGGAACGTGCGAATTTGGTCATTATCATACTTAAGAGCGACATTTTTTTTATTTTACACAATACCTGATCACACTGTGAGTACCTTTGCTCAACATTACTAATTCTTGTTATTAGGCTTTTCAAATACTTTTTTTAGATCTCTTGCTTCGTAGGAACATCTCTTTTGCTGCTGACAACAGGAACTACTGAAGAATGACTTAAAGCTCAACGACGGCAAAGTAACACCCTGCATCTTTCTATTGCTGATAATTCACATTATCATAATGCTTGAAAAGCTGTTCTATAATGATTATTGTGATCTTTGCTTAGAGCACGACAACTGCCGGTAGTACATCGAAACTGAATCATCTTAAAGTCTAATTATGAAAACCACTGCAGTGCGTTGCAGCATTTTAGCATTAAATTATAAACACATATTCCGTTTATGCGTTGAATCAAAGCTTATTTATTGTTCGGGTTGTTTTTGTGAGCTACTCTTACTGTAACAACATTTAATAAACCAGAGAAACATAATGGCACAATGAAAACCAGTCGTTAGCCTAAAAAATGATCGGATTCAACTTTTATTTTTGTGTACACATAATATGTTCGCAAGATGTCTACAGTTTAACAAAATATTTTATAACGTAATGAGGAGACTATATCTGTAAACTTTTAAAAAAAGTAAAAAAATTACTAATATCTGATATGACCTTTCTGATAATTTTTATTGATATTAATGGACATAAGGTATACGACAATTTATATTTTCACTACTGCTTCGATAGTAGATAATCAGATAAGGTTTCGTGTATTATATTGCAGTAACCATTTATAGGAAGTAAGAAATAACAACCGGAATAGACTACTTGAACGACCTGTTTGAACATGTTGGGTGTGTTTTTGGTAGAATGAAAGAGGCAACGACCTCAACTGTGCAAATTATTTGCTTTTGTTTCTGAAACGCACACTGGCTACCAAATAGGGAGGTTCAAACAGTGTCCATGGATAATGAAATCACGTGTAGGAGTTTATTTATTTATGATTTTAGAGGGACTTGCCCCCTAGAATAAGGGACGAGCATGACGGCGAATGTGCACCGACCAATGTGCATTGCAATTATATTTTTTAAAAGTTGTTGCTGATTATGTGTATATATATGTCTTTCAGCAAAAAGACTGCTATGGCTGGGCGCTCTGGTTCGGTCGGCATGGGCTACGTGCTGCCAAGACTTGCGCGGTTCCATAGGGATTCACGGCGAATTTTCAATGCAGCTGTGTACGCGGTACAACCGCAAGTGCTAACGCGAAAAAACATCCACGTGATCAATGATCAACTCAATTTTAAGGTGATAAACCAGCTTGGAATTCTTTGTTAGCGTGAATTCAGGTATTCAAAAATGTACTTGAGGACCTAGTAAAAGCTAAATTATTTTTTGGTGTATAAGCCAGTACGTTTATCGATCCAAGATATATTGCATTAAAAGAAAAATACGATTCAAGCATATATACTTGGTCAATTCGATTGAAAAAACGAAAAATGTCTTTTTAACGTTTTTATAGGTTATGAAATGAATCTCATTTAATTTAGCTTATTTCCCCCTTATCCTGAGAAAGTTAATAGCACAAATAATTTGAGAGAAATCGAAGACCACTCAATAGGACTTGTTACTGAAGCAGCGATCAGAAATGATCTTAACTTGTGATTGTTTTTAGGTGGGTCGTCTCAGTCCCCTTAGTCCTGTATATAAGCCTCATTATAATGTTTTTATATGCGGAATGGGTAAAGCGGTTGCACCAATGGCTGCACAGTTGCAAAATATTCTACGCTCCCACATCCAGCGAGGTGTCATCAGCGTACCCATCGGGTTCACCCAGGCCTTCAGAAAGTCTCGGCTGCCACAACATCCAATCGAGGTGCTTCCACGTAGACTTGCCTATAGGTATCTGTAGCTTGGTTAGATACTATAACTTATATATCTGAATATGCAAACTGTATCGTTTCTGCTTTAAAATGTAATTAGTTATATAAAAAAACCTAATAGGCAGTCTCATTCAACTATTTTTTTGTACCAAAGTGGTTTGCTTAGGGTATATGATTTACCCGATTAGATGGCTCTAAACAGTAATTATTCTTAGTAAATAAATTGTGGCTATCACATGTTTATTCGACATCTTCTATATAAATTTCATCTTTCTAACTATAATTTTCACAGTATTTATCCCACCTCGATTTCATTTGCCTTTCAGATCACTTTTTAAACTGTAAGCACATCTTTGCATAAATCTACTTACAATGGAATACATACATTTCTTTTATTGAAAGGGCAACAATATTATGCAACTGGTGTGGCCTTGCTCGTGTATTGCGTTTTCGGGCCTTGTTCACCAAAACCCGACGACGTTTTATTCAGTTTGACTTCTTCAAGCCCCCGTCTGTTCTGGGATTCGTGTTAGTCGCCCCAATTTTTTAACAGTAAACAAATTTTGACGTAAAAAACCATTTACTATCACATTAAATAAGTAATGTTGTGCTCCAAAGCTTTTTTTTATTATAATTTACTTAGTGTTATGTACTCAGAAATTGTTGAGTGAAATTTTATTTGATTTCGTTTACTCCTTTGTTTCGTACTCTGTTGCATTGGAAAGCTTATACTTTCTTTCTGTTTCAAAACAAACCTTGCGTCTTATATATTGCCGTTTGTGATCATGCGCTTCAGAAACAGAAAATGGTACGCTTTAAAATTTAATTTTAATCACTATCAACGGATTTGCTGCAGATTTAATCCAACTAATCTGTAGTTCCGTATCGAACTCCAAAACCTCCAAAATGAATCACCCATTAATTAGTCAAATGCTCTAATTTAGTTGCCATTTCGAAACAGCCACTGTTGACTGGCTGTAATTGCATGTTTTTTGTATTGATGTAGGTGATCGAGGGTGCAAAGGACAACATTCCGGACGAGTCAAGTTTGTTGGCCTCTCAAAAAATCGTTCAGATGATTGAGTCTTTAACCGAAACAGATATTCTCTTCGTACTTATCACAGGCGGTGGATCGGCACTTGCCCCGCTGCCAAAATCACCTGTGACACTTACTGAAAAACAGGACCTTATCCGCGCTCTTTCGAGAGCCGGAGCTTCAATCGAAGAAATTAACACGGTGCGGACCCGTTTATCAGCTCTAAAAGGTGGTCAACTTTTGGCACGGACGCGAGCGCGCGTAATATCCTTAATTCTCTCGGACATAATCGGTTCACCGTTACACCTTATCGCCAGCGGGCCTACAGTTCCTCCACTACCCACTGGGCGTATTGAAGATGCTGCAGAAATTCTTCTCAGGTTGCTTTTGTATAATTATTGCCCTTTTATTTTAATCAGATGATATCTTAACAACATTATATCTTCCTTTATAACATTTTACAATTCGTGCTTGAATATAATACACATTAGCATATGAATTATACTTTATTATTAATAACGCATTATCTTTTTTGTGACGCTTAGCTCAGCCTGCCCCAGACTTGCCCCCCTCCTTGACTACTCAGACCAAAAGTACACAAACCTTTTTGTTCGTAAATAGTATAGGTCATTTCAACCATGGTTTATCAGTATAGATCGTCCCGTAAGTTATATTTCATGCCAGAGCTTTGTTCCTCTTTCCATTTTACCAGTAAGGCCACTATTTGACCACAGATCAATGTGTTTGAATATTATTCCGAAAGCCGCCGTTCGACTGCTCTATCTAAAATGTTGGTGATTGCGTTGTGTTGACGATATATGCGCGGTTCTATTTCGCGCATGGCGATGTCTACCGGATCCTGCTGGTTGCTTGGAATTCATTGTCGGCGAGTACCGTTCTAACATATTTAGATAGAAATGCGTCAAGCCACGCTCGCAGGCTCTTGGAAAACGCTGTTTCTGGTTTACTTGGTTAAAGTGTAAGATTCGTTTGGCTTCAGGATATTTTTTCGAAGTCTAAATTAACTGCTATTCTTACTATCTGATGTCAGATCAGATGTCTTAGATAGGAAAAGAAACGCTGGCGCTGTGCGGAGAACATACGTAATTTTTTACCCTCTTAGCGCATTTCGAACGTCTGGTAAACAGAGCAGTAACTTACAAACTGACAAGGTCTGGCGAAATAACCGCAACTAATAGACCTTTGGAATATGTACGTTATAAATGAACCTTACATGAGCTTAATTTGGCTTGATCTTTATTTATTTGTTATGATTTTTTTTGTGATTTATTAAAGCGTAAATCTATTTTCACTTCCAATTATTCATTCATGTACTGTCCATATATTTGATGCTTCAATACCAACCTCCAATACCAAGTGGCCAGAGAGGGGTGCCGTGTATTATAATTTTATAATTTGTTTTGTAAGTGCTGATGCGAAACTATAGCAGTGGCATACAATATGCTCGCTTACATTCTACTTGTATGATTTTGCTGAAAAACTTTGATTTGCAGGTACAATATAGAAGTCAATGAAAAATTGGCAGGTGTGATTAATCAATCCTCTGCGCCTCAGCCACAATTCGCGTCCGTAGAAAATCATATTATCGGATCTAATTTAATCGCTCTGGAAGCCGCTAAAGAGGAGGCTCTTAGTCTCGGTTATCACGTGGTTATAGCAACAGATCGTTTGTGTGGTGAGGCGCGTAACGTGGGACGCGATATTGTTAAGTACGTAGTTACATGTAGATTCCAGAACTGCATCTTTGTCTTTGAGACATTAAGGACGTAGCATTTACTTAAATTAAATGTAATTCAGTTTTAATATAAGTTACAAGTGGCTGGCTTAACTACATAAGACCATAAAAAGGTATAATTTAATTATTTAAACGTAAAATTATAGATCTTTTGGGCAGCCATAATAATAATCTCAATCGCATTTTATGTAGAATTTTTACTGTTATTTTATTTTGATGAACTTGATTAGTTTTTGATCTCCGCTTCTTTTCCACCGTTGCTAATAGGTTTTTCTATTAATGTAGTTTTACACAACTATTTTCATAGCACATCAGTGGCCAATTTCGATAAAACTAAGAACGAAGCCGAATAATATGTCCAAGTCGGTATTACGAAATAGTATTATGTGTGTTACTTTACGATACTGAAGTGGCTTTACAATAATACAATAGCTGTTCTCTAAACTCTACTTTTTTTTAGTCTATTTTTTTTTATGTCAACACGTAAGTGCCAAATCTGCTGTTAACACTCTTTCGGCTCATCAGTTATAAAGAAATTGCTGGGTGAGGCCTGACTTTCTGGAATACTTCAAATGACAAGATTTTTTTATGCGGAATCACTCTGAGCAAAACTTCCAAATTCGTAATAAAACAATATTTTCTGTTGGTGTTCTCAAACGGGATCTTTATATGTTGCATATATTTTGGTCGTAGTGCAAGGTAGGTGTTATCTCACTTAATATGATGTTTAAATGTTTTATTGCGTTATAACTTGAACAATAGAAATATTGCTACATTTTCTTTATTATTACTTATTATTATTTCTGTCGTTATCGTTATTGACAGACGAAGATCTAAAACCTCCTACGAGGTTTACGTCGAATTGTTTGCATGCGTACAGAAACTTAAATTTAAGCTAAATTAACCAATTTGTGTGCTGGCTACTCAAGACACAATTCATATAGTAATGGTTGACGACAAATGGCTGCTTAGTATGAACCCGATGTGATGCACGGTGTTTATTATTGCGGTACAGATGCCATATAAATAATAGTATTTAGTCCCTTTTCTAAAGCTAGTTCTGTAGCACCATGAGCTGAGGATCCTTTAGTTAAAAACATGCGTTTTCCGGAGCGTCACTTAATTCTTAATCTTGTTGCAGTAATCTTGTTTGTACTGATCTACTTATAAGATTTTTTAGACTTCTTTTTCGCTTCTTTGGGTGAAAAAAAGAAGCCTTTAATATTCATAACATTTAAGTAGAATTCTGATAACTCTTTAGTTACCTTTGACCGTCTGTTTTCTGTGGGAGGCCATGACTATCGATCAACGCAGTTGTTTCAACAAGTGATCATTATCCTTACTAGCTGCGCAACGAGCGCTACTCAGTGTCATAAAATGTTTACTATGGAAAAAAATTAATATAAGGTACCGGCCGCTTTTTGAACAACATATTGTATATTAGGGTCGCAAAATTTTCTGCGACCCTAATATACAATATGTTACTTTGCGAAAAAAAAAATTATTTTGGACAATTAAATAGATATAATCAAATAACTTCTTATTGCTAAAGCAGATAGCTCAGTCTTAAAGCTAAAGTAATAAGTCATGTTGCACTAAATTTACGTCAATCTTGACATCGAAAAATCTTGAAAATATCGACTAGGAAAAAGTGTAAATGTTATTCACCAGCATACATAAGTAGGAAGTGCACAAGAACAATACTATTGTCTATTGGGTATAAAAACAAGTATAATTCTTGAAGCTTTTTTTCTAACGTGTTTGAAGACCATTATTAGAGATGGACGTCGTACACGGGCAAATACTTAACCACTTTCTTTGGACTACTTATTAAAAGGGCACGAAGTGATGACAGTTTTGTTTTAAATGTGGGTAACATTTTTATGACCCGAATCATTGACTAAACTTACCACTTATCAAAAATTCCATTTCAGAATCGCAATGGACCGAGACAGTTCAAATCTTAATCTTAATGAAGTGATCCACGAGCAGCTGAAAAATCTGCCTAAGGGTGCACCGGTCTGCGTTCTCTTTGGCGGTGAAACAACCGTGAAAGTTACTGGTATGAAACGTTTACCATATACCAACTTTTATTAACCGTTGCGCATACGACTTCTTAATTTACATCGCTATTAGTGGTATGGCCCCCAAAGGCTGAAACACACTATTGCCAATCTGCCTGACCATATCTGTTAAAACTGTTCGAATTTAAACTCGGTTGAATATTTTAAATAGAGAGAAATAAAAGAATATTTATTAATTATTATAGAAATGCCGCTTGGGTACGCAAAACATGCTTAAAATAAATGCAAGCGTATGTATTTAGTCAACTATCTTCTATTACCTTCAGGAACGGGAATTGGTGGACGTAACCAGGAATTAGCCCTTTCGGCTGCGATAGCTTTAGAAGGCTTCCATAGGGACGTTGTTCTCCTGTCTGCAGGTACCGATGGAATCGACGGTCCTACAGACGCCGCTGGTGCAGTCGTTGATCAAAATACAGTGTCATCACGTATGAGGTTAATGTAAAGCTTTACAATAGATTTATCATGCAATAAAACGAGAATTAGTAATCATTATTATGAATTTATCTACTTGTTTTAATACTGAGGGCTAATTTTTATATTTAGGCCCTTACTGAATTGCGTCGATATGGCTCCACTTCGAATTGGTTTATTTGACATGCATCTACGATCCATATTTTAAAGGCTGGTCTAGCATTTTTAGGTGTAAGTTTTGCTTTTCCATCGACCTAATCAATGAATCATAGTCGGTTGTTGCAGTTGTTTTTGCTAGATTTGCGCTGCCATTAAGAGTGGGCGAAGTGTTCGTTTATAAATATGGGTAAGGAACGATGAGAGTTTACAGCTTAATTGTCACTGTAATAGCGCCTGTTTCAGAAATTTCTAATTAATTAATGCTGATTATTAATGAATTAGAATTGATCTAATATGCAAAATTTATTTTTATTTGCAAACTCTTTAAGCAGTTATTAAGTACTAATACTCCTGGACACTTTCGGCTGTTTCCAAGTAACGGGCATTCAGGTATAAACTTTTTTTGGCCTTTACTATTTTTTTGTGGCCTATTTTATTAGCCAATGCACATAATATACAACAAGTTGTTAACCTTAATTAAATTTTGAGAAAGTCTCTAGAGCGGTAAGTAATTTCTGTGGTGTACATGATCAGCACTGATTGTTTCACCCGTATGGTACAACGCCGATGATTTATACGATGTTACACAAAAACTTATCACGTGAGTTTATAAGAAACAAATGCAAGTATGGCCGCATGTGTTGGTTTTGAATACGGAATTAGAAACTGGAGCGTACATGACTCCGGAAAGCCAGCCTATGGCTAGCGAGGAGGATAGTGAAGTTGTAGCGAAACCTATGAGAAAGCAGCGCGATAATTCGTAGGATCGTAGTTTGCAAATAATGTATTTTTCATCGTTTTGTGCACATCGCATCGTAAGCTTTTTAACGCAACGTTATTAACGTCTCTCCGATGCTTTAACAACTTCTAGACTTCTAGCTAGAATTTCATGTACTCATGTCTCACATGTACAATAGATATCAGAATATTCATTTAATTTTAGGTTGAGAGCTGGCCATCCGATGTCGTTTCAAACGATTTTAAACATTTGTAATTCCACCGGTGATTCGATTGCACTAATTATTTTTACGCCGTTTTGGTCAACAGAAGCCACTCAGTGAATTGTAAGGTCTGGGTGGTCTATCCAACACATTTGCAAGCCGTAGGCTTTGCACTCATACTTTCAAAGGTCCGATTACTAGACCAGTGCCGAGGTTAAATTCAATAGTCATTTTCTACATCAGAAATCTAATACACCTGTTAGGGTTCTAGGAGAGGCAGACAGAACGAGTCGGAATTATGGTCTCCGTGACTGGTGGCTGCTAATTTGCTATATGGGATATTTCACAGTCCTTTGCGGATGGTTTTAAATGTAAGCCTTCTACTATGGGCCGAGAAAAACACTCTGTTGGTAGCAATCGAACGTACAAAACTTATTTGCTTAATGGGGGTGTTTACGATGTTATAGCAAGTTGCATTCATATAAACTTCTACAGTAAATACTAGTCGTATACCTGTTAACTTCTGCAGCTAACCACTGCTGGAATATTCCGGGCAGTTGTCTATAATTCGCTGTTTGCTTTCAGCAGCATAGGGCCCCGAACACGTGTCACGATAGGTTCTGTGTACCCGCTTTGTATATACAGTGTGTGCCTGTGTGATAAAGAGACTGCTCGGCCAATATGCATTATTGTCTTGAATCTGTATTTTTCTAAGATATTGAAGTTGATCGATTAAAACCAACACTAAATTTTAAGATTTCAAGTTTCCTGTAGTCACTTCGGGTGTGTCGATCTCCCTTCATTAACAGAAAGATTATCCGTCGTAGAATAACTTAAACATAGGTAAAACGAACGAGCATGTTCGACCATGCAGATTTTTGTTAATGCTATTACTAACTAACAATGTTATATGCTGTTTTTTTTTGAGGATTTTCTGAAGAGACTGAAAAGACTGCTTTAAACTATTATGGTGATTTTCATTGCCACAAGTAAAGGATTGTACAGTGAGCCGGAGCTTCACCTGATTTTAATAAAAAGTTTTCGTTGCTGTACTTCTTTCCATCGTTGCAGCCTACGCGACTTCGAGATCAAAGCAGATGCATCGAGTTATTTATTCAACAACGACTCGTATAACTTTTTTAAAGGGAACGATGATACGCACCTTAAAATAGGTCATACCGGAACCAATGTAATGGACGTACAAATTTTACTTTTTGAAACCGCTATAGACAATGGGAGTGCCAGTCAGCTATGAAAACTGCTTCGATCGACAAGAGTATTATTAAATTGGCTATTCAGTTACGTATGTGTAGATTAGCAGCTTGCATGAGTAACATTATTGGACCTGTTATACATGCAGTACTGCACAGGAAATTAAAATAAATTATATTAAAATGAAGTACAGTGAATTTTATTTGTACTTATAATACTAGCTTTATGGCTACTTGTGTGGTACACCTTAATATACGCATCATACTTTGTTGTTTCATTAATTAATTACGGAATATAAATTGTTCTCGTTGCTAAAATTCGTGAAAATCATGCTTTTACAGTAAATCTTCAGTAAAACAATACTGTAGGATATTCTTAAATCTATTCATATCTAGTTCTTTAAAGGGAAAATAAAACATCATAGAAACAGAAACGAGGTCGTTTGTCTATCTAACATTAAAAACGACAAAATCCAGGCAAGACAAGCCTAAGTAAGGTGGGCAGATTCCCATCCTATCTTTGATGATTTATGGTTGAAGTTATAATGCTCGTCTCATTCAGTATGCGAAGTTCCACAACTGGAAGAAAAATATGTTGCCACCTACATCATGCATTTAGATCAACTCGCATGAACAAGTAGATTTGTCAAAGCGTAGATGCAATAGAACGTATCATAGCCGGTTTCAGTGTCTGTGCAAGGTCATTATATATACAGTATAACAGGCAAAGTCATATAAGACCTCCAGAAGGATTATTCGCAACAAGAACGAGTAGCTAAAGCAGGCTTAGAGGAATTTTGGACATGATAGAGGCATGTCAGGTAGAACAGGACGCTTTTCGCTTTAAAAACGAAGAGCTGAAGCACAGAATCGAAGCACGATTTTGGATCCACAATAAGATTTCGAGTTCGGCCGGCAAATCCTGTTGATGGAGGTGAACAAAACGGCTGATTTTCAGGAGCTACTAAAAGATGCTTACCGTATAGCGGGCGCCGACCCTTTGCTGCGTTGCTTTTCATGCTCCATCTAGTTCTAAAGAAAATTACTGGAGGATCCAAACATTCTGCAGAAACAGCCGAAGAAAAACGTTCTACAAATTTGTTGGTCTGTTCACTACGGACTGCTCTACTTGTATGTACAAGCACACGCCCTCCATGTTTAAACGTCCAGACGACAATAGTTCCCTCACGATTCAATGTCTGTTTTCCTGTAGGTCGGATTATTCTTTTTTGGAATTACCAATGGCCTTGAGCTCCTGGGAATAGAAGGCAGTACACAGTTGCAAATTTCTCTTTTTCAACCCTGCATTCGATTTCTTATGGTGGTTTAATATCCCCAGACATTCCGGAACTTTTTTAAACCTTTTTATGGTCGTGGGGAAAGCGAGTGGTATTTTGTTCGATGGCCCTCTTGCTGCACATCTCAGAAGACTGGTCGAAAATTCGATCTTGTCGAAAAAATATAGCTCCAACAAGCTAGTAAATCTTTGTAACCTAAGACTCTTGTGATGAAGCAGCTAAGCCGTTAACATGCGTTATTCGAAATAAAGTAGAGGAAACCGTTGCTCAGCTAAAGGGCCATATCAGACCAAAGACTGCAGCGAGGAAATGGTCTCTGTTATTGCAAACAAAAATGGGAGCTTCTTTATTAAGATAAAAAAGAGCAGTTGAAGAATGGTGCTGCTTTCAAAGGTAGCTGTGTAAGGGCTCGGGTGTAGAGTAAACGGTTGCAGTGGAAAGCTGTGATTTTAGGCTCAGTGAGTCAGAAAAAACGAAAAGGACAAAATTGCAGAGCATTATACAACACATAGAAACGGCTAGATAAAGCTACACACAAAGTGCACAACAAAACCTTTTGTGAATTGAAAATACATCTGAACCCTAGCAATACACAGACACCTGAAATTAAAGGATTGGATACAACAATACTCCGAAAATGTTTACCCTCATATAGCCTGGTAGACAGTATTAAAATTTACTTTTTATATTAGCCCGAGTAGCCAGGTAAACGCATTCAGTCACAAACCAGGAGTCACAAACTGCTCACCTGTAAGGATACCAACGCAGCCCCTGTTACGTAAGGTTCTAGAAAGCTTAACAACAGAATACATTCACTGCCAGAATGGTGAGCAGCGAACAGTGTAACGATTTTCGACACAGGTAAAGAGCTTGCATTTCACAGAAATATTAGCGAGGCACGCTTCAATCTAATACTGGAAGACGGATCTGTGGCTCCTTTTGCACATCTTGGAGTAGCTCCTTAGGATAGCAGTCATAAATGCATCGACCTTAAAACTGCAGTCTCCTTTAAAACTAAGAAACCCACGCCTGTTAATGAAGAGCAAAGAAACCTTTAGGGATTTGCCGAGACTGTTTTTGCATGCACGCCGTAGGTGCAACTGCCTCTTATTTCACCCACGGACAGAGAAGTGCTAAGGGAATACATGCAGTCAAAAGAAGCTAAATTCAGAATTTCATAACGTCCCGCTAGATTACCGCTATGCGGAAGCTACTCAAGAGGGAAATTAGATTAAGCATCAAAAGTTGTTAGAAATTTTTTTACTGGAACTCGAAACGGACCTATAAGCTTATTAGAGGTAATGGGGCATCACACAAACCAAACATGCCCTAGTCTAAATGATTGCAATTTTTTTAGAAATGCTTCTTTACTCGGTACATCTTTAAGTGCTACCTACGGGAGCCACGACCTTCAATAATATTTCCATTACTAAAAAGGTATTGCAAGTCGCCAAGGAATAAAGTTCGAGAAAGCTCCTAGGCTCAAAAATATTGCTCCTGAGGCTGTTCAAATTCCCGTGACAAAGCTCTCCTCAGTAGTGGCCATGGAAATAGTAAGTGCATTTTACCCAGAAAGTAAATAACCGGAGAGGCAGTCCTAATTCTTAAGAGACGCTTGCTAATAATTGTTATCCTCTCTTATTTAATAAATTTGGACCGCCTTCTCCTTTTATCTGAAAAAAGACCGGGCACAATCACTGCTTTTTTTTAATGAAAAAAAAATAAAGCATTTAATCGTCCTCCTTAATATGTGGTAATAATAGTTTACCACAAAAACTTTTTTCAAAGGCTTAAAAAGAAGCCCTATTTTCTTAAAATGATATCAGGGTATCACAAGCGTCACCAGTGGGAATTGACCATCTCGATAACATCTGAGGTTTCGCAAGGTTCTATCTATCTATTTATTTTACTATTCTGAAACCTTGCGTATGATAATATGATAGCGGGTATGCGAATACTGACGGCTCTTCGTGCGATTGAGGCTTACAGCATAGTTAGCAACAATGCGGCCATTTTGATGATAGGGGCTCTGCTTTGGAACATACAAATAGATTGTAAGTATAGACCATAACACTATAACGAGACATCAATAAATAAAGAAAATAGCGATTTAAGGGATTTAAAGGATTTGAACAATTTAAGGATAATGGGATAAGTGGTTGGTCTTACTGGAAAATGCCTCAGCGTCCTAAGCATAAAACCTCATCTCGAATATCACGTTTAAAAGACATATTTTTTTCTACACCTAAATAGTCATTGGACCTGGCACCTTTCAGATGTACTTAATATGAGCTGGGAAGCCGCTTACAAATATGCGAGTATATTTCCATTGTGGTTAAAGATTAGAAAATGATACCTATCATCCTTTTCTGGCTTACTTTGCGTTTGAAGCAACAAAAAAACATGCTTGGCCAAGACTACATCGGAAGAAAAACTCATTCAAATTCAAGAGAAAAACTCCTCTCTAAAGAGAGTTTCGAACGCTCTGTGAAGTTTATCCTGGATATGGTTGAAGGTTAGGAGCTCAACTAGGCCCGAGATTCGCAACAGGGGATCTTACAACGAAGGAAATCTTAAGTAACACGAGTGTACTGCGCTTTTTAACCTTAACTAAACCGGAAGGGGCTCCGGTAAGCTTCGATCAATAATTGCATTCATAACGTCAGGACTGGGAGGGCAGCGTCTTCCGCCAGGGACTGGGCTCATTTAGAAGCGAGAAATTCGTGAGAGATGTTCAAACTATTTGATTTGGTAGGCACATACCAGCCGTTTGTAGTATTATTTACTAAAAACCCTGTCTATCTCGGAAGAAGCCTAAGAACAGGTAGTGAATTATTTGGTGGCCATTTTCGGCAGATTTATCTCAATGGTTGGCAAAAATCCGATACAACTTTGACAGGAGAAGCACCATACGTTCCCCGTGATGTGTACAAAGCACGCATAAAGGCAACTAGAGCAGTTAAATACGTCGATAAGGCGGAGGATAGTGATAATGAAGTTTGTTTAAATAATGAACGCAAAGGTTTCTCATTAGTCGATATTGAGCATGCTGATGTCAATATGGAACTCAACACGGACACCGAAATTTCAGTTATGCCTCTGTTGACCTTTAAAGCTAGACTAGTGCACTTGACAGGCTTGCGCCTGATTCCACCGAATGGACAATTTAGATGCCTACGTAGTTTTGTTGAGGTGCATGTCAAAACTCATAGGATCAGTGACCAGAGCTATGCACTTCGTGAATGGATGCAAAATCTTAGCACTAATATTAACAGTCGTACGTGTAGCAACCATTTGATCCACCATAACGACGAAGTCAAAAGGCTCAAACTAACCAACCCCCTAAAACGCGAGCTCTGCTGCATATGCTCCTCTAGTAAAAAATGTGAGGCGAGAGGTTTGGGACCGTTATTTATCATTATCTTACACCTCAACTTGCATCGTTCATTGCGCCCATTGCAATTGCACCTTTTGGTTGTTGTCCAAAATTTTCCTACGGCATTATGCCCCTACTTGGCGAGATTTTATGAGGTACGGCTTTTATGAGGTGGGTTGTTAAGTTTTGGCATGTCGGGGTATTAGGAAGTGTCAAAAGCGACGGTCACGTGTGGGCATTTCTTTTTAGATGCAGGGCACCTTTAGAATATGTATTGAATTTCGTCATCATTACAAATGGTGCTGAGTTTCCACTGTTCTGAAAATTTTACCTACAAAATCTATAAGCTATCAAGAAATCAGTGACTGGATAGGAGCTGTGACACCGCGTTTGCAAGAAAACCATGATGTTCGTACCGTGGTATCAGATCTAGAGCAATAGATTTCGTTCGATGCCCGGCTTATTTTGGATGTAGAAAGATCTATCTTCTTGTTCGTTGCTTGATTTTGAAAGG